GATTGGTCAAGGACTGTTTCCATTTCTGAGCTGAGCTGCAAATCCAATGCAGCGCGATCATCGAGTCTGTCCACATTTTGATCTGTTTTTCTTCCATTTTCAGTGTGTTCATCAGGTTGTTTGCTAGTCTCGCTCCAATCACAGCTCCCATGAGCTCCAGGCGTGGCAGCGTCATTTTCTTGAGTGGGGCTACCCTGGACTTGGATGCGACTAGACTTGTTGTTTCCCTGTCTTGTGATTCACTTTGCAAGTAAGCTACTGCACTGTAAGCCCTTTCACTTGCATCACAGAACACGTGTAGTTTCAGGGTGTGACTATTCTGTGGCCGCATGTCTGTTCTGTACCACCTTGGTATGGTGAGCTGGTGTAACTAGGGTAGTTCCGAACACCACTGTTGCCAATCTCGTGTCAGATCAGGTGGTAATTGTTCGTCCCAGTTGAGAGTCCCCTCTCCCACATTTCCTGGAACATGCACTTGATCCTGATGGTGAAGGGGGTCAGGAAACCAAGAGGGTCGAAAATACGTGCAGACGACTGCAGAACACTTCTCTTTGTGTTTTCTTTTCTCAGTAGTGGCCTGAGGTCAAACACAAAGTCATCTGTTTCCGGTCTCCACACTAAACCTTCAGCACTACTCCTTGTGTTTCTAGCGTCAACGGGTGGTCAGTTGTCGTACTCTCCTCCCATTTTGTTTTCAATTCAGGAGAGTTGGTCATCCACTTGCAGAGGTCCATGCCTGCAATCGACAGCATTCGCCTTGCAGTTGTAGTCACAAGGTAAGCCTCTTCAACATTGCGTGAACTTGCAATGAAGTCGTCTACATAGAGTGACTCTCTCAGTATCTCTACAACTTCTGGTTGTTCTGTTTCATATTGTTCCAGGTGCTTCCTGATTGTAGCTGCCAGCAAGAATGGACTTGGGGAAGCTCCAAATACCACTCTTTTCATCCTCAGCACACGCAGCTCCTCTTCATTTTCTCCCCTTGGTGGGCCTGTGAGCCATAGAAATCTCACGGCGTCTCTGTCTCTCTCTGCTAGGGATATCTGCAGGAAAGCCTTCTTGATGTCTGCCATGAATGCGATCTCATGTAGTCTGAACTTTATCAGAACGCTGAGCAGATCCGGATTCAGGTTCGGTCCTGTGAGTAGACAGTCATTGAGGGATGGACAGCCATCTTCATGGGATGAGGCATCAAACAACACTCTCAGTTTTGTCGTCACCTTATCTTCTCGGAGTACTGCATGGTGAGGTAAGTAGTATTTTACGTTGTCTGCGCTTTATGCGTTGTCCTTGGGCACGTCCTCTGCCATATCCTGTTGTAAGTAGTCCTCTACGACTTCATTGTATCTGCTGTACAACGTCACATCCTTCTTCAGTCTTTTCTTCAGACCTTCAAACCGTTTCTTGGCGATTCTATAGTTGTCTTGGAGTTCTGGCAGTTCTCATTTCCATGGCAACTCCACGTGGTATTGCCCATCTTTGAAGGTGGTTGTTTCCTCAAACCTCTGTAGAGCCTTGTTTTCCTCTGGGTTCTGTGCTTTCTCGCTTATAATACCCAGAGACTCAAGCTCCCAGAATGCATGCAGTAGTTTGGAGACTAGTGTGTCTTCATCAAGTGGGATGAACTTGCAGGTTGCCTCGGCGACACTTGACATGGACATGGGTCCCTGCACCGACCATCCAAAGGTGCTCTCTAAAGCAACCAGCGTCTCCGTCAGTCGCTCCACTCTGCCTGATACTATCTGCCAGTAGTAGTCCGCTCCTATCAGGACAGAGAGTTCAGGATCATTGTCATCTCCTGGAAAGTCTGCGAGCTGCAGTCCCTTTCTATTGAGCTCATGTTGAATCTGTTCACCAGGAACCTTCATCACAGCTGTGCACACTTGTGAGATTTCAATTGCCTCTATCTCTATTCTCTGCTGTTTATCCCATACATTCTCCAAGATGACTTTCACTGTGTTGCGTTGCGACGTTGCTGGAGCAGAGGAGCCAAACGTGTGAAGAGTGAGTGCCTCTTGTCTGATTACTGGTAGCTTCAAGCCCTTCACAAGGTTTTCATGTATGAAGCTTCTCTGACTGCCTCCATCTAGTAAGCAACGAGCTATCTTCCTGCCTGATGGGCCTTCTACCCATGCCTTTGCTGTTTGTAGCAACACAGTGTTCTGTCCATCTGGTTTCATCTTCACTGAATGGGGAATAACTGAGGAAACAACAGCATCTGCAGAAACAGTAGGGGGTTGCACCTCACTCCTCTTACCGGTACACACAGCAATGTGATGTCTGCTTCCACAGGTTGCACATGACACATCTTTAACCCTACATAATTTTGCTATGTGTTTCTGTCCTAAACATACTCTCTTTGCGTGTAGCAATATTGTGGTCAGGGCAGTTTTCTGATTTGTGATCTGCACTGTCACAGAATAGACCGTTTTGTTCCTTCTGGCTGGCTGTATGCAGAGCCGCAGCAGATGGCATGTTGGGTCTTTTTGTTGTCATTTCATTGGAGGAGCATGACTTGTTCCATGGTTTGCTCTCTTTCTGTTGGTTGCATGATCTTGTCATTTGTAGCACTCTCTCCCTGCTCTGAACCTCCTTCTGTAGGAAACTGATGATCTCAGCCACCTTCCAGTCATCATCTACTCCCCTCTGACGACTATAGTCAAGAGCTATGTCCTCTGGAATCATCTGCAGTAAGATTGGGCATAGTAGGCTTCCATGGGTTTCTGACACTACACCCAGTGATTCCAAGCTCCTAATCTGAATTTCACATTCATCATATAGTTGCCTCAATGCATTTAGGTCAGAGGATTTCTTCACAGGAGAGAGATTCAGCAGCTTTGACATGTGAGCACTAATCACAAGATCTTTCCTTCCAAATCTGCTCTTGAGCAGAGCGATTGCATCGTCATAGTTACTGTCTGTTAACATCAGTCCTGCTACTGCCTTTGCAGCTGGTCCAGTGAGATATGTTTTCAGATAGGTAAACTTCTCTTTATTACACAGTGTATCATTGTTGTGAATAGCGGTCTCATACTGGTTCCAAAACTCCTGCCACATACTGACATCTCAATAGAATTTCTCAATAATCAACTTTGGTAGCCTTACTGATTGTCTCTGTGATCTGTTTGAGTTAGCGTCACTCACCCGTGCTGGTAGTGGATTGAGGTCCTGTTTTTCTTTATCACTCGTTGTGCATGGCTCTTCAGCATGATAACGCGCTCTTTGTAATCCTCCGTGCTTGCAATCTCCACCTCCAATCCGTCCAATGGCGTTAACTGTTCAATTCCATGATCAAGTTCAAACAAGCTGTCCTCCTTAGCTGATAGCAATTCCAACAATGTACTCAAGTGATCTGTATCCGAATTTGACTGGGTTATTTCCACGTCAATCTGATTCAAAATCCGTGTTGTGGCACCTCGAATGGTACCCCGCTTTCGTCTCATTCTTTCTGCTTCATGCCGACGTTCCTCCTCAGCCATTTCAGCCGCTTCATCCCTACAATCTTCGTCGCAGCTCATACTTTTCCCGGGTTTCGGCACCAAAATATAGAATAACTATCTTCAAAGTAATGACTCGGGACATCCGGTTTGAAATGAAAGCTAAGTTGCTAGCGAAAAGTCAGGATAATCACTTGACACTTGACATAACTGGAGCCTTTTTTTCTCTCCCCTTGGTCGCCAGGCATTCTGGAACTTGCAGTCAAAAGAGTAATTCAATACTAACCAATACAACAAAGTATGTATGTACTTCTCTCAATCTCCAACACACAACTTCTAATACAATGACATATGTAAATAACTGTAAAGAAAATATCTTTAGATACAGCTCAATGAATTAACTTAAACATTAACTCTGTAACCCATTAAAGTTACAACACGTGTAAAGGAACAGTCCAGCAGGCATCAGCTGTGCAGCTGAGTGATCATAAGGTCCAGTGAACAGCAATGTGAGTCCGAGAGCAGTTCGAATTGGTGCTACAGCACAGGCGATCAGGAAGCACGGCTGTTGAATTGCGTGTACTAGCGGGCCGGGGCTAGCAACGGGATTACATCGGCAGACCAGTCGTGATGCATCGGCGGGGCTCCGTGTCGACACTAGGAGGTCCCGTCCGGTTGACAGAGAGGTAGATAGCCGGGAGATGGGCCTGACTCGAGGCTAGCTCAAGGCTGATTAGCCAACCACAACATCCATTCGGTTGCAGCTAGCTAGTTGCGATGATCCGGTGTTAAAGGTCCAGTGATTCAGTGATTCCAGCAGGAAATCCGATATGTTCTGGGTCGATAACGCGCTGTGCAGACTGGGCGATAATAGTCCAGGCTAGAGCTGGCTGGTAGGTAGTGCAGGCCACAGACAATGGTGAAAAAACTGGCTACTCCCGTCCGGTAGACAGAGAGGTAGATAGCCGGGATATGGGCCTGGCTCGAGGCTAGCTCAAGGCTAACTGGTGCTTGCTTCGGGGGCAGTGGTGATTAGCCAACAGCAACATCCATTCGATTGCGGCTAGCTGGTTGCGATCCGGTGTTAAGGTCCAGTGATTCAGTTATTCCGGCAGAAAATCCGATGTTTTGGGTGAAAACCGCTAACGGTGGCTAATAGCAAGTAGCTAGTTAGCTGGCTAGCTACTTTCAACTGGAGATTCTAGATAAAAGGTAAGTAAATAATAGAATCCGTTCCACATTGAGTGAGGTGGGTTGCAGGAAAGTATATTTAGTACAAGGCTGAAAAGTGTGATAGGGGATTATATACAACAAAAGACAAAAAAAAGAAAAAACAGGCTATTTACACGGACACACAACAGAGTACACGACCGCACTACTACGCCATCTTGGATCAGAGCTACCAGAGTAGCAGCATAGTAAGTATGGACTGGATAGATAATACATACAGCATGACATTTTTTAACAGCTGGATTCAAAGTGATGATGACAATGGTCTATTCCTCAGTGTTCCATCTTTCTTCATACAATTTATATTGAGTTATTTTCTTCATTTTCATTTAGTCCCTGAGCCACCTCAGATCATTAACCACATGCAGCCCCTGTCTGTGGAGTCCGGTAAATCTGCTCGCTTCTCTGTGGAAGTGACTGGCGTCCCCCAGCCCCAGGTGTTCTGGTACAAGAACTCTCAGGCTCTCTCCCCTGGCTTCAACTGCAAGTTCCTGCGTGATGGGAATGAGCACTGTCTGCTGCTCATTGAAGTGTTCCCAGAGGACGTAGCCGTCTACAAGTGTGAGGCCAAGAATGAGGGTGGTGTTGACACCAGTTCAGCTGCACTGAATGTCGAAGGTAACCATTACATTTTTGTGTGATAATAATGCCAAGTCAAAGAAAATTATGACATAACAGAAGACCATTTGTTGTCAAAAGCTAGTTGTAAAGGTATACCATTCATGCAAATGTCATTTATTCCTTATATGATTATGCTATCGTATCAACATTTTGAAGAGGGCTAAGATGCCCATGATGTCTTTGTTTAGTCTCAGAAGATATTACCGCACATATAAATAACTGCTAATTTTGCTAATTCATTTTCATTTCAGTCTCAGAAGTAGTTTCTCCTATAACTGGAGCTCCTCTGTCCCCACCTACCATTGTCTCACCAATCAGCCACACCTCAACAACTGAGGGAGAGTCTGTCAGATTCCAGTGCAAAGTTACTGGAGAAGGTATTTTGCACAGTACATTGTTGGGATGAGTTGGAATAAAAAGTCATTTAGTCAATTCCTGGAATTGAATTCATAATTGTAATAGTTATAATTGTGGAAGTAGACCTTTTATTACCCTACCGGTCAAAAGTTTTAGAACACCTACTCATTCAAGGGTTTTTCTTTATTTTTACTATTTTCTTAATTGTAGAATAATAGTGAAGACATCAAAACTATGAAATAACACATATGGAATCATGTAGTGACCAAAGAAGTGTTAAACAAATCAAAATATATTATATTTGAGATTCTTCAAATATCCACCCTTTGCCTTGATGACAGCTTTGCACACACTTGGCATTCTCTCAACCAGCTTCACCTGGAATGCTTTTCCAACAGTCTTGAAGGAGTTCCCACATATGCTGATCACTTGTTGGCTGCTTTTCCTTCACTCTGCGGTCCGACTCATCCCAAACCATCTCAATTTGGTTGAGGTCGGGGGATTGTGGAGGCCAGGTCATCTGATGCATCACTCCATCACTCTCCTTCTTGGTAAAACAGCCCTTACACAGCCTGGAGGTGTTGGGTCATTGTCCTGTTGAAAAACAAATGATAATCCCACTAAGCCCAAACCAGATGGGATGGCATATCGCTGCAGAATGCTGTGGTAGCCATGCTGGTTAAGTGTGCCTTGAATTCTAAATAAATCACAGACAGTGTCACCAGCAAAGCACCCCCACACCATAACACCTCCTCCTCCATGCTTTACGGTGGGAAATACACTGCGTCTCACGCAGTGGTTGGAACCAAAAATCTCAAATTTGGACTCCAGACCAAAGGACAGATTTCCTATTCTTATTGGTGTCCTTTAGTAGTGGTTTCTTTGCAGCAATTCGACCATGAAGGCCTGATTCACACAGTCTCCTCTGAACAGTTGATGTTGAGATATGTCTGGTACTTGAACTCTGTGAAGCATTTATTTGGGCTGCAATTTCTGAGGCTGGTAACTCGAATGAATTTATCCTCTGCAGCAGAGGTAACTCTGGGTCTTCCATTCCTGTGGTGGTCCTCATGAGAGCCAGTTTCATTATAGCGCTTGATGGTTTTTGCAACAGCACTTGAAAAAGTTATTGAAATGTTCTGTATTGACTGACCTTCATGTCTTAAAGTAATGATGGACTGTCGTTTCTCTTTGCTTATTTGAGCTGTTCTTGCCATAATATGGACTTGGTCGTTTACCAAATAGGGCTATTTTCTGTATACCAACCCTACCTTGTCACAACACAACTGATTGGCTCAAACACATTAAGGATAGAAATTCCACAAATTAACTTTTAAGAAGCACACCTGTTACTTGAAATGCATTCCAGGTGACTACCTCATGAATCTTGTTGAGAGAATGCCAAGAGTGTGCAAAGCTGTCATCAAGGCAAAGGGTGGCTATTTGAAGAATCTCAGATATAAAATATATTTTGATTTGTTTAACCCTTTTTTGGTTACTACATGATTCCATATGTGTTATTTCATAGTTTTGATGTCTTCACTATTATAATACAATGTAAAAAATAGTAAAACATAAAGAAAAACCCTTGAATGAGTAGGTGTTCTAAAACTTTTGACCGGTAGTGTATGTGTTATTGTCCTTGTTGCATTAGAAGGTGAGGCATGAGACCCTCTACTTTATAAAAAATAAAGTTTATTATAAATCCATAGTTAAAAACATACAGTGATGTTTCAGTCATAGACATTCATCAGACAGAGCTAATTTATCAGACAGTAATTTTTAAGAATAATATACTTTTACTTCATTTTGTATGTATATATTAATGTTTGCTCACAATTATTATTAATAAATAAAAACATTTGATCATCAAAAAAGTAATAATCTAATTTTAAATACAATCCTCTCTTCTCCATTCGTAGCTCTGAAGATGTCCTGGTTCCGTGGTGAGAAGGAAATTAAGCAGTCAAACTTCTTCAGGATGTCTACGTTTGATGACACCTGCCAGCTGGAGATCACCAGAGTGTACCCCAAGGATGAGGGGGAATACACCTGTGTTGCCAGAAACCCAGCAGGAATGGTCACATGCTCTGCACATTTGAAACTTGATGGTGAGTGTGCATACCTTTCTGTAACCACATGGTTTCCTATTGAGTTATTTTGATGTTGTTTCGATCTAAGCCTAGAATGCATAGGTTGATCACAAGTAGTCAAACAATACATATTTTCACTAGAAATACAGTGTATATTCAATATATAATATGATTTGCAGTATCTCTTAAATTAAGATGTACTTTTTCTTTCTTTCACTAGAAATATACAACATGGATATGTGTATCTGTGTCCATTCCATAAAAATGCTAATACTCAATTCATTGAACATGCTTCCTTTCAGGGCAAAAACAAATTATGGATATTACATCCGATTCTCAAAGGCCTGTCTCAACCAGTCTTTCAACAAGCTTGTCAAGTGTAAAGAAGGAGCAAATTGCACAAAGGCCCACTTTTATTCACCTAATAGAGAGCTGTGTGGTTCAGCATGGTGAAGTGGCCAGGTTCCATGCTTGTGTATCCAGCATGCCAAAGCCAGAGATTAGCTGGTATCATAACCAGCAGACAATTAAGCCTACCAAAGATATTGTCTTTCATTTTGATGAGATGACAAACACCACCACACTAACTATAGTTGATGCTTTCTCTGAGCATGCTGGCCAATACACTTCCAAAGCAACCAATAACGCTGGAGAGACGGTGTGCACAGCAACCCTTGCAGTAACCAAAGAAGAAGGTAACTTGTTATGTACCTCAAATTAGCCGGTTATTTTACCACATAGTGTAATTAATCATCTATTCAATTTCACGAATGTCCTTTCTCCAACCAACACCTCTCATTAAACTATCCAAATGACTTGCTTCTTCTTGAAAGAAACCTTTCTTTCCCATATTTTAGTTTACTAACCTCACAATTTAACCTCACAATTTAAAATAGAATAGTACAAATATGTTAGTCACTTCTTTAGTTATAATACCTAGATGCTTCAGTAGAATACATTTTCTTCTTTTCATTATTCTCTGTCACTCCTTGCTCTCCTTGCAGCTTGAGTAGGTAGTACATTCTCCTTCTATCATTCCTCTTTCTCGCTCCTTGCTGTCCTTGGTTGTGAAATCCCTCCCAGCGATATCTCTGTGTACTGTGCATGTTTTAGCCTATACTATCTGGAGTTGAATCCAACTGTCAAACTGCTTTGTTTGTTTGTACCGCTGTACCATCAAAGTGGAAACATGTTCAAATGATTGTAATCAGTGAAGGAGTTTGAGTTAAAATAGTTAGCATAACCTCTGAAAAGCATTTTTGTCCAGCAGGATGTCACTTCAAGGAAATGACATCTGAGCTAAGCATTAAGTCCAATATTGCTCCTTGAAATGAGCAATCTCAAAATTATAGATGGATCAGTCCAGTATCTTTTTCTTGAAGCTTTTTTAATTAGGCTCTCACATACAGAGTAAGAAATTAAGCTAAAATGGGAGGGAATTATTACCCATCATCATCTTAAAATATTGTCTTAGCTGACAGTAACTCTTGATTTCCTTTACAGTAACCCATATGAAGGAAGAGATTGAAACAACCATTGAGCAAGAAGTCAAAGGTAAGACTCATTTATACTCTTTATTACTGAAATGTACTTCCTCAATCCCTTAGTTGAATGACATGAACCTGAGCATATTTATAAGTGATTTCTGAATGTTCACACTTCATGCAAGCGGACAAAATGTTTTTGATGCTAAAGCACACACTAAGTAAAGCGAAAGCATGCTTATTTAAAAAAACAAATCCACTTATTTTGCAATAATTATGCCTTTTAAGAAATGTATGTTCTGAAGAAATGTCCACAGAAGAAGGAACAAAACATCCAGCAATTTTCGTGTCAGAATCTTTAAAAAAGAATCAAGTCTTGCGTTTCTTCGAAAAAATATGGTGAGTGAAATTGTTTTTTATGGCTTTGTGACTTGCTGCATGTAATTAATATTTCCATTAATATTCATTTCAAAAATTTGATTTTGTTATCTTTTTTTTATTTTTTTTTAGAGTTGTTTTATAATAAAAGGACTGAGTTTCGGGAGAACAGAGGGCAGATGCGCGGAGCCTTTTCAGACACGGAGGAGAACTTGGATCAAGCCAACAATTCATCCATCAAGCCATCTTTTACAAAAAAGCTGAAGTTCCAGAATGTTCTAGAGGGGGAACCTGCTGTGGTTAGATGCAGATTGGTAGCTTTCCCAACCCCAACCATAATATGGTTTCATGACAATAGACCGATTCAGAAAGAACGCTGTCATAGAATACGTACAGAGAGCACTATGCACATGCATGTGACTAGTTTAGTCATTGATAGTATAAGACAAAGACTCCGGCAGTTACAAAGTAATGGTTATTAACACAGAGGGGTCTGCAGAGTTCATAGCATCACTTCAGGTGTCATTGAGGGAAGAACATGGCAATTATCTAAGCCATGTTAGACGGTCAACTAGACTTCACGGTTGCTTGATCAAAAAAAGGAGAGAAAATTCAGGGTTGACCTGAGATGTGTTGGGTCTCCATTTGATAAAAAGTCCAAACCTAGTGGCAGATCCAGATCTAAGGATGCACCAGTTCGCACCTTGTACTTCAGAAGCTTATCACCAACAAGAGGGAAAGATAAAGAAACTAATCTGAATGAAACAGCATCTGAACGAGCCCGCTCTCCACCTTCTATATTTGGTGGAGAAAGGTTTAGTAGGTCTGAAAGGTTTAACGACAGATACAGTTATATCTACTGTGACAGACACACTGGCAGATTCAGCGACATGTTCAGTGATAGGTGCAGTGATATATTCAGCGACACAGAAAGCCTCCACGGAGAGGTAAAAGCCAAGCTTGGCCTGTTACAAAATGCAGTCAAACGAAAAAAGAGGCTCTCTATGTCCACAATGTCATCATCAAACGCGAGTGAAACCAGCTTTGCAGATTATGTTGTCGATTAAAGGTCAAGAAGCCTGTCTCCTTACCTGGAGACTTGCAGCATGCTTGACCTTTTGAAAGAAACGTTAGAAACGATCAAGTGTCTGCCAAATTCTATGGTAGATATGACAGAATTCCCACACATAGTGCTTAATCAACACAGCCCCGTGTGAGGCATTCATTGAACCTCAGTCTCAAACTAGGGCCATTCAAATGTTAAGAGGTGATCTACCAGCGACAGGAAATGAAAAATACTTTGATGAAAGAGTCTCTGAAACACATATGGATAAAATGGTCCTTACTCCAGGGGAACATCAACATGAGTTAGGATTCGAACATAGGATTGGTGAGGACTTAGAAAATCAAGGTGAGGACTATTTAGGAAATCAAACTCGGTTGTCTGAAGACTTGAAGACAAAGATGGAAGGGCCGTTTGTCTTAGCTTGTGCTGAAACAAGGAGATCTCCAAACATTGCTGCAATGGATGAATTTTCAAAATCCAGCCCAATCAAACCACTGAAGGAAATATTTTCCAGTAAGACGATTAATGCACAAGAGGATACTGTGAAGAGCACTGAAGAACAATTTGAAAAACAACCCAGCTCTGCAGAAAGCCTGTATGAGAACATTGAGAGTGAATGTGAAGATAAACTTTTAGCCTTGCGGATTAGAAAATGGCAAAAGGGAATATAGATTGACCAAGAAGAACAGTTTAAGCATGAAACAGACCATTCGAAGGCAAGGGATTTGCCATGCACGCAATCCGAAATCCATATATATGGTGAGGAGGTAGAGAGAGAAACAGACACAGAAACTGTCAGTGTCAGTGATGAGAAATCTTGTGAAGAGCATCATCTATCCCTGGAAAAGGTCAGCTTAACCCGGGAAAAGTTGTATGGATTAAAGAGGGGAACAGAACAGAATTTGAGCCTTTCCCAAACCAAAGAGGAGAGTGCCAGTGAGAAGAAAACAGGAGAAGAGAACACTGTCTCACAGAAAAATATTCATGGATTGAATTCCCCAAAAGAGAGGCCTGCCAATATGTATGGTGAGGAGGTAGAGAGAAAAACTGCAACAGAAACTGAGGCATTACCTTTCCAACATTTGCCCAGTTCTCTGAAAAAGACTTGTGCACAGAGTAGTGAGGAAACTTGGGAAGAGCCCCATTTATCCCTGGAAAACGTCAGTTTATCCCGGGAAAATATTGCCCCTTTCCAGAATCTTTCACTTTCCCAATCAAAAGACAGGAGTGCCAAAGAGAAGAAAACAGGAGAAGAGCACCATTTGTCCCAGGAAAATATTTATGGGTTGAAGAGCGAACCTGAACAGAATTTGTCCCGTTCCCCAAGAGAAAGGCGGGCCAGTGAGAAGGAAACACAGGAAGGACTTCACTTATCCCGTGAAGAGCTCCGCTTATCCCAGGAATATATTTCCGTATTGAAGAATGAAACTGAACAGAATTTGTCCCGTTCCCCAAAAGTGATGTGTGCCAGTCCAAAGAAAACACGAGAAGAGCAGTGTCTTTTATCCCGGGAAGAGACCCACTTATCCCTGGAAAATATTTATGAATTAAAGAGTGAATGTGAAACATTTGGGAGTGAGGAAGAGGCTCTGGCACATCGAGTCATTAAATGGCAGCAAGACATCTTGACTGAGCAGGAGATTGCTGTTGACTTGGATTCTGATTGGGTTGGTGCAGAGTACTCACCATATATCGCTAGAAAAGGGACTGAGTCAAAAATGGCTGCTGAAGGCATTACTTTTGGATCAAACGCTCACTCTGAGGTAGATTCAACAAGAAGAAGAAAGCCTTCCCCAGAAAAGACAGACTATGAAAAGTTCCTGACTGAGGATGTTCCTCGTGGTTTCAGAGATGAGAGAAGGTCCTCACAAGAAAAGTCTGTAAAGGAACATGTCCTTACTGAGAATGATATCCCTCCTGAATACAGATATGACAGGTCTTCACCAGAAAAGACAACAAATGAAAAGTTCCTGACTGAGGATGTCCCTCATGAATACAGCGATATAAGAAGAAAGTATTCTCTAGAAAAGCCAACAAAGGAAATTATTATCCATGATGCTAGAGCCCATGAAGGCCCAAGAAGGCCTTCTCCAGAAAAGACAACAAAGGAAAGGTTTCTGAGTGAGCATGCCCCTCATGACTACAGAGATGAAAGAAGAAGAAGATCTTCACCGGAAAGAACGGCAAAGGAAAAGTCCCAGAGTAAGGATGTCCATCATGATTTCAGAGATGAAAGTTTCCAATGGCCCCCTCCTCCACAAACCGTTGTTGATGAAACAAGGCTGCAGACCGAAAGTGAGTATTTTGTGAGCGAAGAGGAAGCTTTGGCTCAGTGCATCTTAAAATGGCAAGAAGACGTTCTCACCGAACAAGAAGAAGCTGTTGAATTAGAGTCCAACTGGGCTTTGGCTGAACATTCACAACACCCAAAGAAAACCGATGCCCGTGGACCTCATAATGGTTCCTCTAATGAACCTGTGAAAAAACGGTCACCTGTGAAAGAATGCTCACCTGTGAAAGAACCCTCACTTATTAGACAACATCACATTGGTCAGCATGTCTCTCAAGAAGATTGGGCAATGGCTGAACTTTCACAACACCATCATAGGAGAACTGATGTCAGTGGAGATGATGCCAATGAAGGTCCTTCTTATGAACCTGTTTCTCATCATGTCAAGAAGTTTCATCAAATGTCACTTGGGTCTCACTCACCTGTGAGAGGGCCCTCAACAGTTTGAGAAACTTCACCTGGTAGAGAGCCCTCCCCTGGCAGAGAACACTCACCTGACAGAGGTCGATCACCTGTGAAAGAACCTGGTAGAGAAGCATCACCTGGGAGATGCAGTTCACCTTTGAGAGAACATCACATTGGTCAGCATGGCTTTCAAGCTGAAGTTGGTGCAGAACGGCCTTCCAATTGGGAATCTGACTTGAGACACAATGAAAAAGTGGCTATGAGGACCGCAGAGAGGAAAGAAGAGAACATAAAATTGCTATCAAAAGATGCCAAACAATCCAGCTCGAAAGAAAACCTTCACCAAATGGACATGCCTCAGAGGACAAATGAAGTTGATAAGACTTCACCAAAAACGTCCATACCTATCTTTGTGAGAGAAATATCATCCATGAAAGTAAAGAGGGGAGAGATGATAGACTTTAAATGTCATTTTCGGGGAGACCCTCAACCAATTGTCACTTGGCACAAAGATTACCAACCAATCGGTCAAAACCCAGACATTGATGTTCTCACCAAATTCAATGAAACCACACTAACCATCTACTATCCCACTATATACCATGAAGGGACATTTAGTTGTGTTATAACTAATACATTCGGAAAGTCAACCTCCTCTTCCACACTAGAAGTTACTGAAAGTAAGCAATTAAGAACATTTCCATCGCCAGTGGCCACGCATGAAGTGAAAGTGACAACAGAGTATGAAATGAGTGAAGAAGATCTTGACCAAATGATTGACAAGGAACTTGAATCGTACAAAGACGTTGAAACGGATGAGAAATCCTTACTACAGGTGCCTCAGGCTGTCTTGCACAGGCCTCGTGCTTCAGACACTTCACAATATTCTTGTTCTCCTGTCGAGATCATGATCACTGCTCCAACACCAGTCCCATTCAAAATGATTGAAAAATACGCAGAGATGTCTGAGGACGACGGCAGTTCTCATCCTATGAAACACAAATTCACATTCTCCTATGATGCCGCGCAGGTAGTCAGTGAATCTGAGAAGATAAGTTCTTTAGGCCAGACCGGAAAGGTTGAAAGCAGTTCTGATTTGTCCTTCCAATCTGCTGTGGCTATTACTAGATCTTCTGAGGTAGAAGCAACAATGGTTGGTGAATGGGAACAACATATACTATTTGGAAATTCTGAAGATTTGAGGCAGTCCCCTCTGAGTGATACTGGTGATATTACTGACCTGACATTGATGCAGACTTTGGACAAATCTGTAGGTTCCCACAGCCCTAAGGATAATGTTTCAAAAGTATCTAGATCAGAAGCAGACATGGCAAGTGAGAGAGAACAGCATATATTATCCACATTTTCAGAAGATTTGAAGCATTCCCCTCTGAGCCATACTAGTGATATTACTGATCAGGCATTAATGCAGGAGCTGGACACCTCTATAGGTTCCCACATTCTATACGCCAGATTCTTCAACTGAAATTTCGCAGCTCCTGAAAACTCCAGAATCTTTCCACACTCCTGAAACCCCAGCAGGTTATATTACCCCTAATGAGTGTGCCTTCTCTCCTCTTGAACATAAAAGACCATCCACTGACTCTAGTGAGAGGTTATTTTCTCCTGCTAAGGAGGTCACCCGATGATGAGGGCATTGAGACAACACCCCCTGCATTTAGATTAGATTAAGGAAGTTTCCTCTCAGAGCGTGCCTTTGGCCTTGGAGGACTACAGGAAAAAGTCCAGGGAATCCCTCCGTCTTTCCTCAAACCTCTCAACAAAAGGAGAGTTGTTGAACATGATTTGTTATCGTTTTATGCTGAGGTGTTTGGGTTGCCTTCACCTGAAGTGAAATGGTTTAGAAACAAAACCCAATTTGTTGCAGATGAAAGGATTACAATGGACAGAGATGGCGACAATATCTCGCTTGTTATTCAGAACATTACGAAAGCTGATCAAGGTGAATATATTTGCAAAGCGTTTAACTATGTAGGGGAGGCAAAAAGCGTTGCACTAGTTGTAGTTATATCCAACGAGGCCAGATATATGCCCCCACCACCGTCAGTCACCCATCAGCATGTGATGGAGTTTGATGTTGAGGAAGACGATGACTCATCGAGGTCTTGCTCCCCTCAGGAGATTCTATTGGAGGTGGAGCTGGATGAAAATGAGGTTAAAGAGTTTGAGAGACAGGTGAAGATAGTTACCATCCCAGAATACACCGCTGACAATAAAAATATGATAATATCACTCGATGTTCTTCCGAGTATGTACGAGGAGAGTGGAGTTGACTTTGTAACGCATGAAAGGGATGATTTGAAAATAGATTTTGAGGTTACAGAAATGCCACCTCGCTTCACCAACCCAATTTGTGATATGGAAACCCCAGAGAATACAACTGTAATGTTTGAATGTTCTCTGATGGGAATTCCCTCTCCCATAGTATCATGGTTTAAAGGTAACAAGACGATCCCTCACGATAACAAGAAATACTTGCACTCGTCTGATGGAGATAATAATTTCCTTAAGATCAGGAACGTCAGCGCTCATGATAGTGGAATATACACCTGCCGGGCCATCAATGTGGTTTGGGAAACTCTTTGCAGGGCATCTCTTCTTGTGTTGAATCCTAAAAGCTTTATAGGGAAAACAAGAGGGAGAGAATTGACAGCTGTGTCTCTTGGTAGTGCTAAAGTCCAGCCTCAAAAGTTGGACTTGAATCAGTTGTTGGGAATCAGTTTGACGGTGAGCAAGCATCAGAAGTAGAGCTGGAATTTGAATTTGAGCAGGAAGCTGATGAATCACAAAAGGCTGTTAGACTTATAGCCCTGACGGACAATGAGATGAGCGAGCAGGGAGATAAATATGTCAGTATTAACTTTGACGTTTTCGCAGAGCCCGCCAAAGATGATAAAATAGAATTCAAAGGAAAGTCATCAAAATTGTGTAGTTTCCGGTATCAAATTACTGAAGCTCCACCAAAATGCATGATTCCTTTGGCAAATGTCACCGCAGCAGTAGGAACTCCAGTGGTCCTCCAGTGTTTAGTAAATGGTAAACCTCATCCCACCGCTGAATGGTACAAAGATGGCGATCCAGTGAAAGACACTAGGTACATGATCCAAGAGAAAGCATCTGGACATTTTAATTTGATCATCACAAATGTCACCCAAAAAGATGCTGGGGAGTACAAGTGCCTTATCCAAAACAAATCTGGATATACTGAAACAACTGCTTTGTTGAAAGTGTTTTAATCTCTTCATGTCATTTGTTTTCATGTGGATGTTGAACTCAATTAAAATGTTTTTACTGTATGTTAGAAAAGTAGCTTTTATTCATTATAATTTGGTACATGTGAAAAGTGTTCTGAAATGAAGTGTAGGTCCTATTTATTGTGTATAGTGTGTAATCACTTCACACAACATAATTATTATAAATGTTATAATCATGTTTGGTGAAGGGGAATGTTTGTTTTTCAAAACAGTTAAAAAAAAGTTATTGCTTATAGTTTCATTTAAGGTGACAAAATGTGTATGAATACTTACCACCCATGTGTAATCAAAACATTGTTATCAAGCCATTCGTGTTAGGCCCAAATGAAGATCTTGTATCAAAATGTCCAATGTTTTAATTAGCCAAATATTTCAAATTAATCATATAATTGAATATACTGTATAGTCATATATAATATAACAAATACATCAAACTTTGGTTTCTCGTATCCAGATTAAGCCTACTCCTGAACTAAAAGCATGCTCAATAGAGAGAACTGGTGATCCAATTCCCAGTGTGTAGTGTTAAGAGGTGCTTGTCAAAAATATAAATACGTATGCATCCATGATAACTCAGTGTTGTTAGCATGATACTGTATATGTTATGATTTATGGGGTAGTGCTTAGAATCAGTGATGTGCAGAGTTTAGTTAGTTTTATTTATCTTTTGATTAATGAATGATTTCGAAAGCAATCTGGTACAAAACAAAACAATTTATCGAACACAATTTAAATCTGATATTGAATGTACTTTTGTAGAGCAAATGTTTCATTAGGACTACAATAGAAAAGTACACCATTCAAAATAAAGCCTTGGGGTTGGCTGTAAAATCATATTTTTTAAAAGGTTACTTATATACATACCTGTAAGTGCTGTAAATATGTTTCACTGTATGTTTAAGAGGCAATTGTATTCTTAATGAATAATATATATTTGGGGTTATAAAAGATTTACCAATTTGACTGATCTCAATACAATAATACAACAATGTATTCATTTGGAAATGGGAGTAATTGAAATTAATTATTTATTTGCACAGAAATCACTTCAGTTTGTCTCTAACAGTGTTTATTTATGTATAAATAAAGGAGGTATATACAGCACTACTCATTCAAGGGTTTGTCTTTATTTGTAAAAAAAAAAAAAAAGAAAACTTTGTAGAATAATAGTGAAGACATCAAAACTATGAAATAACACATACGGAATCATGTAGTAACCAAAAAAGTGTTAAACAAATCAAAATACATTTTATATTTGAGATTCTTCAAATAGCAACCCTTTGCCTTGATGACAGCTTTGCACACTCTTGGCATTCTCTCAATCAGCTTCATCTGGAATACTTTTCCAACAGTCTTGAAGGAGTTCCCACATATGCTCAGCACTTGTTGGCTGCTTTTCCTTCACTCTGCCGTCCGACTCATCCCAAACCATATCAATTGGGTTGAGGTCGGGGGATTGTGGAAGCCAGGTCATCTGATGCAGCACTCCATCACTCTCCTTCTTGGTAAAATAGCCCTCACACAGCCTGGAGGTGTGTTGGGTAATTGTCCTGTTGAAAAACAAATGATAGTCCCACTAAGCCCAAACCAGATGGGATGGCGTATCGCTGGAGAATGCTGTGGTAGCCATGCTGGTTATGGTGTGCCTTGAATTCTAAATAACTCACAGATAGTGTCACCAGCAAAGCACCCCCACACCATAACAACTCCTCCTCCATGCTTTACGGTGGGAACTACACATGCGGAAATCATCCGTTCACCCACACTGCGTCTCACAAAGACACGGTTTGAACCAAAAATCTCCAATTTGGACTCCAGATCAAAGGACAAATTTCCACCGGTCTATTGTCCATTGCTCATGTTTCTTGGCCCAAGCAGGTCTGTTCTTCTTATTGGTGTCCTTTAGTAGTGGTTTAATTGCAGCAATTCGACCCTGAGGCGTGATTCACGCAGTTTTCTCTGAACAGTTGATGTTGAGATGTGTCTGTTACTTGAACTCTGTGAAGCATTTATTTGGGCTGCAATTTCTGAGGCTGGTAACTCTAATGAACTTATCCTCTGCAGCAGAGGTAACTCTGGGTCTTCCATTCCTGTGTCAGTCCTCATGAGAGCCAGTTTCATCATAGACTTGATGGTTTTTGCAACTGTACTTGAAGAAACGTTCAACGTTCTTGAAATTTTCCGGATTGACTGACCTTCATGTCTTAAAGTAATGATGGACTGTCGTTTCTCTTTGCTTATTTGAGCTGTTCTTGCCATAATATGGACTTGGTCTTTTGCCAAATAGGGCTATCTACCTTGTCACAACACAACTGATTGGCTCAAATGCATTAAGAAGGAAAGAAATTCCACAAATTCACTTTTAATTGAAATTCATTCCAGGTGACTACCTCATGAAGCTGGTTGAGAGAATGCCAAGAGTGTGCAAAGCTGTCATCATGGCAAAGGGTGGCTATTTGAAGAATCTCAAATATAAAATATATTTTGATTTGCTTAACACTTTTTTGTTACTACATGATGTGTTATTTCATAGTTTTGATGTCTTCACTATTATTCTACACTGTAAAAAAAAAAAAAAGAAGAAAAAAAATCTTGAATGAGTAGGTGTGTCCAAACGTTTGACTGGTAGTGTATATACTGATGTCAATTATTGTATGGTGTTGTCTTGATATCACCCTCTAAGCTTTTGCAGCGGACACACAATTGACCAGCATAACCCTTTCTTTTATGGAAAAAAATTCTCAATCTTACTCATTATTTTTTACACAGAATATTCTAGCTCCACAGTGGAATAAGAACAATAATTCTACACTACTGGCCTTAAATTACCTCACAAAACAAAAACACTTGAGCTCCAGCCAGAGTCTAAAAGCTATTCTAGTACTTTAGAGAAGAAAAAATAAAAGCCAATCTTTTTGACCCAACTCTCACCAGCAGCTGTCAATGTTGGAGAGGCAGCTAGATTTACTGTCACAGTATCTGGCCTTCCAAAGCCTAATGTCCAGTGGTTTCATAATGGGAAAGTCATTACCTCTTCATCAATTTACAAATTGATTCAAGAAAAAGATGAGTACACCTTAATAATATCTGAGGTAAAAACAGAGTATGAAGGTGAGTACTCTTGTACAGCTAGCAATATATTTGGCCAGACAACCTGTACTACTTACCTGGAGGTGAGAAAGATAGCTTTAACTACAGCTGAGCAATGGGTTGACAAAATGTTCAAAGCCACTGGCCAACCACCTAATTTCACTAGCCAAATCAAACCTATAAAAGGCCAAGAGGGAGGTGAGGCTTACTTTAAGTATAAAGTAACTGGTGATCCAATGCCAGATGTGCAGTGGTTTAAAAGTGCTCGTCAAATTCAGTGTGGTAAGTACTGCATTATAGTGAACAACCCAGATGGCTCTGGCTTCATCAACATGAAGGGCATCCAACAGCAGGACAGTGGTCCCTATACATGTAAGGCTTCCAACCCGTCTGGGGAGGCCTCTTGTGGTGCTGAGCTAATTGTGTTCAAAGAGTCTGTCTCTGTATCTCAGCATAAGGAACACATGGTTGTTCAAAAAGGTTATAAAGTATCCATGACAGCTGAACAAGCTACAGAGTCTCGCTTGTACATGGTCAAACTTCCTGGAGTGGCCAGGGCCAGCATTCAGGCAGGACATCAGATGGTATACACCATTGGCACAGAGGACAGCCAGGTTGTTTGCAGTGAGCAAGTAAAGACCTTTAGAGAGTTGGATATCTCTGTGGATACTGCCCAAAGAGAGAGGATCACCCACCAGGCTGCAGTTCTGCAGTCAAATGAGGTACAAGAGAGTGTGTCTGTGGGTGTCACCCTTCCACCTCAAGTTTCAGTAGTTCCTACAAAACATCTCCGTACGGCTGCCTTTCATTCATCTCCTGTTCAGGAGAGCCCAAAGCTCACAGAGCAGCACTGTGACCGTATCCAAAGCCCAGAAGTCATAGAGTTTCTGTCTTCAAATGGGAAGCGTTCAAAATTAATGTCTGCCACTTCTGAGGAGATAACCACCTTGGTGAGAGTAAGCACAGAGATGTCAGGTGACAGGAAGACAGATAAAGTAAAGCCAACCTCCGAGCCAAAACATCTTGTCAGTAGTCATCAAGTTGAATCCCAACTGTCAATTTTAAAATAAATTCCCAAGCCACAGGAGGAGAAAAGTTATAAAGTCAAAGAAGGCGTTAAGATATTGTACTCCGCTATGTCAACTGAAAAACTGATGATTCCTTTGGGACATACAACAGATGTGCCCTCTGCTGATTCTGCTCTTCAATCTTCAGTGACAAAATAATTGCTTAAACCAATTCTCGCCTCAGTTTCGGAGACTAAACAAACATTATCAAAAGAGACTAAATTGACCATGCAGAGACCGGACGCAGAGAAGGCTCTCCTTAGTAAGGATTACATTATGAAATCTGCACTGACAGCTGAGGAGAAGCAGATGTTACAAGCGGAACACACAGAACAAGTGCAGAGTTTAGAAAGTGCTATCTCAATATATTCTCAGGTAGAAGGTGAACAGGTACTGCATTTGCAGATGATCAGAGATCAGGATATCCTACCATCCAAGGAACCATTTACTTATGAGAAACCAGCTGTAGAACAAGCAGGTGCCAGCCCTACTCTTTTACACACAGTAATCCACAATGAACAGAGATCTGTAACTTGTGAGGATACCACTGAGTTTGAAGCCAAGAGAGACACAATGACCATTCAGCCTCAAAAACAAGCCTCTACCCCATTACATCTTCAGTCAGTTCATCCAGAAGGTGCCTTAACGAAAGAAGGCATTTTTACCATTGAAAATCCAGACCAACAGACAGCAACACAGAAGCAGGAGAAAGCCAGAAAACATGCAGCAACCTCAGAGGAAAAAAGGGAGCTTAGCGCATATTATTCCAAAGATCTTGATGTGTTCATGACAGGAGTTCAGTCAGAGCTTAGAACAGAACCCAGACCACAGAACATTCTTCAGGTCCCTTCACAGCCCATGCAGCTACCCAAAAAAACACAATTTACTAGTGATGTCAAACAGCACCATGCATTAATCCAAAAGGAAGATTGTTGGAACATCATGCAAGTGTGGCAGATAGTCAAGCGTTAGAGGAGGGACATACTGAGAGTTTGACAGCTGTTGACAAATGTACATGCAAAACCAAAATAGAGCCTAAAGTACCAACTGAGCCCATACAAATAGAGGAGAAGGTGATCGCAACTGAGAGTAGTGCACTTCTGGAAGCTACAGAGCAAGATTTTGCCATCCATATACAGGAAGGACAGTCTGTTAGACAGTCAATAACGATGGATGAAAAGTGTATATTGATCGGTGAAATGTCCCAACAAATAACCAAATCAGAGTCGACAACAGTTAGTGTTAAAACTCAGCCCAAAATGACTGTTTTCATCTCAGAGTCTGGAGAAAGTCGAACTCTTCCAAAGGAGCTCACATTTGTTATTCAGATTCCAAAACCAACAAGTTTGGACATCAGACGTCAGTTGAAAGAGGCACTTCAGTCTGCTGTAGCTCTTGATCAGCAACTTATACTAGCAGATGTTGTTGGAAGTTTAGAGGCTACTGAGGTAGAGGAAGTGAAGGTACGCAAGGAACCGAAGAATGCAATGTTCACTTATCTTATCACAACACCAGGTGCCCCTATGGAAATAACACTTGCTTTTGAAGGTCAATACCCCCAGACTGCAGATCTAAGGACTGAACTCCAGGCAGCTTTCTACTCAATTGTCTATCGCGAGCAGCATGTTCTTACATCTGACCAACCTGGCACAATGCAAATAGACAAGCTCCAAAGACTACAGGTTAGCGGTGCAGCCTCCAAAGAAATGCTGTCATCGGTAGTGGAGACTGTCAAAGTAGCAGAGAGTCTAGTTGATTTCACAACACCTAAAGCTCATGCTGCTGCACGAAAGACCGAATCTCGGGATACACTTGAAACCGCAACCGCTGAGGAACGTAGTGTGGAGCAAGAGGCCAAAGTAACTCAATCCAAATTGGGTGCTCAAGTAATGAAAGTTACTACAGACTCACATGCTGAGTTTGAACAGTCAGTACAGGTGGCTAGACAGGAGGTTAGAACTATGACTGTAAAAGGTTATGAGAGAGACGTAGGTATGGCTGATATCACCACCGATATGCCCATGACATCCATTCCAACTGAACAGTCTTTAGATGTACTCATCCAAACAGAACACAGGGAGGAATTTATTTCAGAAGAGGTCAGAAAATATGAGCCTCCAGAAAAGTTAAAAGATTATCCCGTTATTGAAACCTTCCTGGAGGACATTGCCACAGAGGAGCATTGTAAGGTTACATACAATGTGACAGTAAAGTATGTTACAAAAGCTAATTGGATTTTCAATGGACAAATAATTAAATCAGGCAAAGAGTTCAGGTGTTCAAAAGAACAAGACACATACATACTTACAATCATAAAAATTGTCAAGGAGAAGCACGAAGGATAATATTTATTTGAGGCTGTGAATGAAGCTGGAAAGACCACAACATCATCAAGACTCAGTTGTCTCAAAATATTGGATAATGAGGATAGTTTTATTGTTACTCATCACCATACACATAAACTAACTGTATCATTCATTACATTTTTCTAATGTAACATTACATTTTCTCTCATCTTGGCAGCAAAGTCATACTTTATTTCATATATTGAAATGTGTATAATTGTCAGCATGCATTTACCATACTTTCAATCCACTACTAATTCACCGTAGTATTTTTCTATATCATTCCCAGGTATTTTCACTTTACATGCTTATAAAAAAAGTTCTCATCACCCATGAACTACTACATTTCACTCTTGGTCATTCTCCACTGGGCACTGAAATGTTTTTGCATGCTTTCAGGAGCAAATTTGTCATGGTTTCATGGTGTCACTTTTCTCCTTACTCATTCATGAAGTCACTTTCCTCCTTCCTCCTCTAACCATTCCACCATTTCTTCACAGTCACTCCTGGAATGCATCCCACCATACCGTTGCATTCCACCATCTCTGTTCCAGCTCTGTGCACTTGTCTACATGTTCATATTTTGCATCATTATCTACCTGTGTACTAATTTACTTTTATTTTTGTGCACATTATAGTGCCACCTGTTTTCAGGTACAAAATTGTTCCCCTGGAGATCAATGTTGGCAGCGGAGCCAAGTTCGAATGTGAAATTGAAGAGGCATCAAATGTGAACTTCAAATGGCTCAAGTCTGGCACTTCGATCAAAGAGAGTGACAATTGCCGCATCCTCAGTCGGCAACTGACATCTTCATTGGAGCTCCTGAGCCCAACCAAAGCTGACAGTGGTGAATACACTTGCAAGGCTACAAACCAGCATGGCAGTGACACCTGTGCCACCAAACTGACAGTCACTGGTGAGTCCTTTGTTTCCTTTAACATTATTTATGCAACTGTATGTACAGTCTATTGACGTTTTCTTTTCAGGTTGAATGTTATACAAAGAATTGTAATGTGCACCTGTTGTCTCAACCATTGTATATTGTACCGGTTTCTAATGTAAATTAGGTATCCATATCCTATTACTTTTTTCCTATCTTTAATTACTTTTTATAGAGATGTACCCGCCTGTATTTAGTACAATGCCTGATCCCATGACTTTATATGTGGGCAAACAAGCATCATTCCAGTGTGTAGTTACTGGCTCTTCACCAATGACTATTGTCTGGCACAAAGACAATATTGCTGTTCCTTCTGGGGGGAACTATCAGATAACATCTGGCAAGACCAAATACTCCCTACAAATCAAAGATCTTCAGCTGACCGATCAGGGTACTTACCTTTGCAAAGCATCGAACAGTGTTGGCACTGCTACATGCAGTTCAGAGTTGAGGGTTATCAACAAACCCAGTTTCGTAAAGACCTTTGAGACCTCAGTGTCTTCAGCCATTGGTAATACACTGCGGCTCGAAGGTCAAGTGGATGAGGACACTGGAGTGACCATCACCTGGATAAAGGATGGCAAAAAGCTCCATCAAACAATGGACTGTAAACAATATTTTGAAGAAAAGGTTGTTCTTGAAATTATTAAGGCAAAACTGAAAGATTCAGCGAAATATGTCTGTACAGCTTCAAATGATTCTGGGAATTCAACTTGTTCTACCACGTTGACGGTACAAAGTAAAGGTCTTTAAGTTGATATCTTGTCGTAACGCAGTGTGTGTGCGACTACAGATATGCTTCCTAGGACCTCATTTAGAAAATACAACCGTTTAAATAAAAAAGACTGATCATTCAGTTATATTTTAGCCCCTAATACTATGCAGCTACAATATCTTCTTATGTTATTTTTTATCTTACACTCTTCTCTTTTGGTGGTTACTTATTGATTATTGTTTGACAACAAATTTGCTGTTTCGCAACCCAATACTTATTTCAGAAACCCCGAACTTTGTTAAGAAAATGGAACCAAAGCTAATGTGGAAGCAGGGCATAGCTGCTCGGATGCAGTGCACAGTCAAAGGATCAGCAGAACTCAAAGCTACCTGGTTTCTGAATGAAAACGAGCTCAGTGATGGAGATAAATATAAAATCACTTTCAAGGCTGGTCTTGCAATTTTGGAAATAATCTATGTAAATGTGTTAGATAGTGGAAACTACACTTGTGAGGTGTCAAACGAAGCTGGTAGTGAGAGCTGCAGCACTGAGTTATCTGTAAAAGGTTTGCCACCATAACATATTTTATTTGCTTACAAATATATAAATATTTTTATCACAAATTACAGTTGTATTATTTTATTTAATCTGATCTCTACTCTTAGAGCCCCCTTCCCTTCGAAAAGAATTGCAAATGGTCGAGGCAGTGAAGGGAACTCCTGCCATACTTGAATGTGAAATTAAAGGAACAGCTCCATTTGAAATCACCTGGTTGAAGAATAAGAAAACAGTCGTCGCCACAGATAAAAAGTATAAGATCATCTATCAGGAATCCATTGCTCGTTTGGAGTTCTGCTCATTTGAAAGTGCAGACGTTGGAGATTACCAGTGCTGCATAGCTAATGATGTTGGTAAAATCACCACTAAGGCGCTGGCCAAACTAAAAGGTTAGTATAGTTGGTAAATAAAAATCTCACATTGTTTTGTCTAAATACAGTTGAAGTCGGAAGTTTACATACACTTAGGTTGGAGTCATTAAAACTCGTTTTTCAACCAATCAACAAATTCCTTGTTAAGAAACTATAGTTTTGGCAAGTCGGTTAGGACATCTACTTTATGCATGACACAAGTAATTTTTCCAACAATTGTTTACAGACAGATTATTTCACTTATAATTCACTGTATCACAATTCCAGTGGGTCAGAAGTTTACATACACTCAGCTATACAGCTGATGTCTGCTGGACTGTTCCTTTTTACAGTACCGCATCCTGTTTATGTTTAGCCTCAGCCCAAACTTTGTTGCCATTACCAGCTGTTGTCTTAGCTCTCTCGAATAACACCTGTGATTGCTTTATGCCTCTCTCCCATGTCAATATGCCTTGCTTATTGCTGTTTCGGTTATTTAATATTGTACTATTTCACTGTAGATCCCCCAGCCCAGCTCAACCTACCTTAGATAGCTCCTTTGTCCCACCCCTCATACACGTGGAGACCGACTCAATCGGTGCCTCCAGTGATGCTATCTCTTTCATCGTTACCCAACGCTTAGGTTTACCTCCACTGTACTCATATCCTTCCATATCCTTGTCTGTACATAATTCCCTGAATCTATTCTACAACGCACGGAAACTGCCCCTTTTTTCTCTGTACTCAACGCACTAGAAGACCAGTACTTAAAGCCTTTAGCCGTATCCTTATTCTACTCCTCCTCTGTTCCTCTGGTGATGTAGAGGTTAACCCAGGCCCTGTAGCCCCCAGTATCACTCCTACTCCCCAGGTGTTGTCATTTGTTGACTTCTGTAACCGTAAAAGCCTTGGCTTCTTGCACGTTAACATCCGAAGCCTCCTCCCTAAGTTTGAGTTATTCACTGCGTTAGCACACTCCGCCAACCCTGATGTTCTAGCAGTGTCTGAATCCTGGCTTAGGAAGGCCACCAAAAATTCAGAAATGTCCATCCCCAACTACAACATTTTCCGTCTCGATAGAACTGCCAAAGGGGGTGGGGTTGCAATCTACTGTAGAGATAGCCTGCAGAGCCCCGAGCTGTGCCCTGGACACCATATGTGAACTGATCGACCCCCCATCTATCCTCAGAGTTCGTACTGCTTGGTGACCTAAACTGGGATATGCTTAACACCCCGGCCAACCTACAATCTAAACTGGATGCCCTCAATCTCACACAAATGATCAACGAACCTACCAGGTACAACCCCAAATCTGTAAACATGGGCACCCTCATAGATATCATCCTGACAAATTTACCCTCTAAATACACCTCCGCTGTCTTCAACCAGGATCTCAGCGATCACTGCCTTATTGCCTGCGTCCGTAATGGGTCCGCGGTCAAACGACCACCCCTCATCACTGTCAAACGCTCCCTAAAACACTTTAGCGAGCAGGCCTTTCTAATTGACCTGGCCCTGGTATCCTGGATGGATATTGACCTCATTCCGTCAGTAGAGGATGCCTGGTTGTTCTTTAAAAGTGCTTTCCTCTCAATCTTAAATAAGCATGCCCCATTCAAAAAATTCAGAACTAAGAACAGATATAGCCCCTGGTTCTCCTCAGACTTGACTGCCCTTGACCAGCACAAAAACATCCTGTGGCGTACTGCATTAGCATCGAACAGCCCCCGCGATATGCAACTTTTTAGGGAAGTCAGGAACCAATATACACAATCAGTTAGGAAAGCAAAGGCTAGCTTTTTCAAACAGAAATTTGCATCCTGTAGCACTAACTCCAAAAAGTTTTGGGACACTGTAAAGTCCATGGAAAATAAGAGCACCTCCTCCCAACTGCCCACTGCACTGAGGCTAGGAAACACTGTCACCACAGATAAATCTACAATAATCGAGAATTTCAACAAGCATTTTGCTACGGCTGGCCATGCTTTCCACCTGGCTACCACTACCCCGGCCACCAGCTCTGCAGCCTCCGCTTCTCCTTCACACAAATTCAGACAGCTGATGTTCTGAAAGAGCTGAATAATCTGGACCCCTACAAATCAGCTGGGCTAGACAATCTGGACCCTTTCTTTCTAAAATTAGCCGCCGAAATTGTCGCAACCCCTATTACTAGCCTGTTCAACCTCTCTTTCGTAACGTCTGAGATCCCCAGAGATTGGAAAGCTGCCGCGGTCATCCCCCTCTTCAAAGGGGGTGACACTCTAGATCCAAACTGTTACAGACCTATATCCATCCTGCCCTGCCTTTCGAAAGTATTTGAAAGCCAAGTTAACAAACAGATCACCGTCCATTTCGAATCCCACCGTACCTTCTCCGCTATGCAATCCGGTTTTCGAGCTGGTCATGGGTGCACCTCAGCCACGCTCAAGGTCCTAAACGATATTATAACCGCGATCGATAAAAGACAGTACTGCGCAGCCGTCTTCATCGACCTGGCCAAAACTTTCGACTCTGTCAACCACCGCATTCTTGTTGGCAGACTAAATAGCCTTGGTTGTAAACATCTGGCCCTTCATTGGACACTGTGTTAACAAACCTCCAAACGAGCTTCAACGCCATACAACACTCCTTCCGTAGCCTCCAACTGCTCTTAAACACTAGTAAAACTAAATGCATGCTCTTCAACCGAACGCTGCTTGCACCCGCCCACCCGACTAGAATCACTACTCTCGGCGGGTCTGACCTAGAGTATGTGGACAACTACAAATACCTAGGTATCTGGTTAGACTGTAAACTCTCCTTCCAGACTCACATTAAGCATCTCCAATCAAAAGTTAGATCTAGAATTGGCTTCCTATTTCGCAACAAAGCCTCCTTCACTCATGCTGCCAAACATGCCCTCGTAAAACTGACTATCCTACCGATCCTTGACTTCGGCGATGTCATTTACAAAATAGCCTCCAACACTCTACTCAGCAAATTGGATGTAGTCTATCACAGTGCCATCCATTTTGTCACCAAAGCCCCATATACTACCCACCATTGTGACCTCTACGCTCTTGTTGGCTGGCCCTCACTACATATTCGTCACCAAACCCACTGGCTCCAGGTCATCTATAAATCACTGCTAGGCAAATCCCCGTCTTATCTTAGCTCACTGGTCACCATAACAACACCCACCCGTAGTCTGCGCTCCAGCAGGTATATCTCACTGATCATTCCCAAAGCCAACACCTCCTTTGGCCGCCATTCCTTCCAGTTCTCTGCTGCCAATGACTGGAACGAACTGCAAAATCTCTGAAGCTGGAGACTCTTATCTCCCTCACTAACTTTAAGCGTCAGTTGTCAGAGCAGCTTACCGATCACTGCATCTGTACACAGCCATTCTGAAATTATCCCACCCAACTACCTCATCCCCATATTGTTATTTATTTTGCTAATTTGCACCCCAGTATCTCTATTTGCACATCATCTTTTGCACATCTATCATTCCAGTGTTAATAAGAAATTGTAACTATTTTGCACTATGGCCTATTTATTGCCTTACCTCCATAACTTACTATATTTGCACACACTGTATATATATTTTCTGTTGTATTTTTGACTTTATGTTTCGTTTACCCCATATGTAACTCTTTGTTGTTGTTTTTATCGCACTGCTTTGCTTTATCTTGGCCAGGTCACAGTTGTAAATGAGAACTTGTTCTCAATTGGCTTACCTGGTTAAATAAAGGTGAAATAAAAAAATATAAAACACTAAGTTGATGGTGCCTTTAAACAGCTTGGAAAATGCAAGAAAATGATGTCATGTAAACTTCCGACTTCAACTGTATGTTTTCTAAAGATCATGTTTAATTGATTTGATAATATTGGTATAGAACCACCAACATTTGCGAATAAGATTGAAACCATTACAGCAATATTGGGAGATTCTGTGAAACTCCAGGGCACATTGAAAGGCTCACCCCGCATTGCACTCAAATGGATGAGGGACACTGAAATGTTGAGAGATGATGATCCAAATATCAAAATGACATTTGAGAACAACATTGCTATTCTGTCAATAACGACTGTTGCCATTAGCCATGGCGGCAAGTACACTTGCCAAGCAGAGAATGGGGCTGGACAAAACAAATATGAAGCCACTCTAACAGTTCAAGGTTGGATAACAACTATTGAAACATTTATATAAAACATATACATATGTATCAATGTGTAACATTTACACACATAATACTCTTGTGACAACTAAATCTAATTCATTTTACTTTATTGTAGAACCTGCTAGAATCTTAGAGAAAGCAGAATCCATCAACGTGACTTCAGGGGAATCTGCAACCTTGGAATGCAAAATCGCTGGAAGCCCAGAACTTAAAGTGAAATGGTTCCATGATGGAAAGGAGATGAAAGGGAGTCGAAAATATAAAATCACTCTAAAAGATAATATTGCCATCTTAAAGATTATTGCGGCTGAAAAAGCAGACTCTTCCGAATACACAATGGAAGTGTCCAACCGTGTTGGAAAGGACCAGTGCTCATGCTCTATTACTGTGCTGGGTTAGCTTTTCTTCTTTTAAAGGTTATTTTAAAGGTTTGTTTTCATGAAATGTATTTTAACTTGCAATGTGCAGTATGAAGTAACATTTTCTTTCCAACAAACAGATCGTATCATACTACCCTCTTTCACAAAATCTCTGAAAAGACTTGATGGAATAATGGGTAACGATATTTCAATGGATTGCAAAGTATCTGGATCCCAGCCTATTATTCTGTCTTGGTTCAAAGACGAGAAAGAGATTAAGTCTGGATATAGATATCTACCTGAAATCAAAGACAACTCAGCTGCACTGAAAATTAACAAATTGGAAAAGGTTGATGTTGGAGTGTACACATGCCGGGCAACAAATTCTGCAGGATCTAAAGAAAGCAGTGGAATCTTATATGTCAAAGGTTTATAAAGCTTTAGTCATTTTCTAGCCATATGTCACACTCACACTTCCAATTGCAGTAGGCCTATCACATTTTCTTGGGATAATATCCTGATGAAAAATAAATATTTTCTTCTTCTTAATGAATTGTAGAACCTCCAGTTTTCACATTGAAATCTGACAACCAAGACGTTGTACCAGGATCTACCATTGTCTTGAAATCTGCTTTCACTGGAATAGCTCCTTTTACGATTAAGTGGTTCAGAGAGGACAAGGAGATATCAAGTGGAGGCACATTTTTTATCAAGAAGGGGACCTACTCAAGTTTTTTGGAACTTCACTCAGTAAAACCCACCGACTCGGCTAACTACACATGCCAAGTGGCCAATGACGCTGGAAAGGTGGCATGCACGGCTGTCTTGTTTGTGAAAGGTGCCCTTTCTTCTTATACATCCCCTGCTCAATATGCATTTGTTGTTCTTGTATCAATGTTTGTTAACTTGTCTGATAATCAATGTCAAACTCTTTTTTAGAACCTCCAATGTTTGTGATGAAGCTTGAGTCTACGAAACTAGTAGTGAAAGGAAGTGCTGTAAAGCTGGAGCGTAAAGCAACCGGCACCCCTGAGATCAGTTTTAAGTGGTTCAAGAACGAGATTGAGATGAGACAAAATGAGAAATACAAAATGGCTGTTAACAACTCAGTTGCCTCACTGGAGATTGTCAACTGCTCTGTTGATGATAGTGGAGATTATGTTTGTGTAGCATCAAGTGATGCTGGTAGTGACCGCTGCAGCAGCACAGTTACAGTTAAAGGTTTGTTGAGTATTCTGCTTACTGAGTTTTTTAGATTAATAACATTTTATTTCAAGATTGTATTCTGACTTGATTGCCATCTTCTTTTAGAACCTCCAATATTTACGAGGACCTTTGAATCCATAGAAGTTATCAAAGCGTCTAATATTATGTTGGAAGGACAGCTTGCAGGCTCCGCTCCATTCAACACATCTTTTTACAAAACCTCAAAGGCGATCCGAAATGATAAAAGACACAAGATAGTCTTAAAGGATGACATAGTTACCCTCCAAATGTTGGCATTTGAAGCCGGAGAGGCTGGAAAATATCAGTGTACAGTAGAAAATGAAGTTGGGAAGTCATCTTGTGATCGTGAAATAACACTGGAAGGTTGGTGTGAAAACCTTACATTTAAATATATTTATCTGTTAATTTCGGTATACTTTCAGTTAAAATGTTGTATGCTTTTCCACCTTTAGAACCTCCATCGTTTGCACAAAAGATAGAGAATATGAATTCCCTAGTTGGCAGTGAGATTTCTATGCAGTGTACTCTGAAAGGATCGTTACCTATGACTGTGTCATGGCTGAAGGATGACCATGAGGTCAAAGATGGTGAACATACGCAGATGTCCTTTGAAGACAGGACAGCACTGCTGCGAATTTTTAATATTCAAACAAAACATGCTAGGAAATATATTTGTCAGGCCAAAAATGAAGCTGGCAGCCAGAAATGCTCTGTGTTATTGGTAGTCAAAGGTTGGTTGACATTTATGAGGACATTTTTCAAATTGCGATTGGTTTGGATTTTATAGATGTTGAAAACTCATTGTTTAATGTTATATTTATCACAGAACTAGCAAATATCACTGAACAGGCAAAATCTGTCAGCGTTACAATGTGGGACCCTGCTACACTTCAGTGCAGGTTCTCAGGAACCAAGGTCCTCAAAGCCAAATGGCTGAAGGATGGAAGCGAGCTGACATCAGGTCAAAGATACAAAGTGCAAAGCACAGATAAGAGCTCTGTACTAAATATTCTCCGTACAGAGAAAAGCAATAGTGGAGATTACACCTTTGAGCTTTCCAATGACGTTGGAAGCAGTACTTGTGAAGCCACAGTTTCTGTCCTAGGTCAGCAAATTTTTAAATATTTTATTCAATATGTTGAACTTTTTGTACAGGTATACCTGTTTTGACAGTATTCTCATTACTTTATTTTTATGCTAGATCAAATCATGAAACCATCGTTCACAAGAAAACTGAAGGAAACAGAGAGTATCAAAGGATAATTTGCCCACTTGGAATGTATTTTGTCTGGCTCTATGCCCATATCTGTAATCTGGTACAAAGATGAAAACGAGATCAAGACTGATGATAAGCACAAATGTACATTCTTTGAAAACACAACTTTTCTGGAAATAAATAGTATTGACAGTGCAGACAGTGGCAGCTATACCTGCATTGCTACTAATAAGACAGGCAAAGACCAGTGTTCTGGGGCCTTACTTGTGAAAGGTTTGGATAACTATTTTATTCGTTTTCTATATTTATGGATCTTTGGTTATCTTTGGCTTCAGAACTTTTTAGACTTTTAACTTGAAACATGCGTTCCCCCTTTTATTAACAGAACAACCATCGGTTGTAGAAAAGCCTGAATCAATGAATGTTTTGCCTGGATCAAAGGTTCTGTTTAATGTCCTTTTGTCTGGCACTCCACCCTTGACCATTACATGGTTTTACTGCACTTACTCTTGCAAACTGACAAATAAAGCAGGAAGTGTTGAATGCAGTGGGGCACTGAGGGTGAAAGGTCAGAATTGATCAAATGTATGTACATTTTATGTATTTCTCTCGTGATAGGGTCAGGCCAGCTGATTAACATGGTTGCTATTGTTTCTTTAGAGCCACCAAGCTTTGTGCTGTTGCCTGAGTCTCAGGCAGCCCTTCCTAACTCCAACATGCAATTTAAAAGCATGTTTAAAGGAACACCTCCTTTCACAGTGAAATGGTTCAAGGATGACTCTGAATTGATCACTGGACCGTCATGTTTTATCGGACTGGAAGGATTATCTTGCTTCGTAGATCTTTACCCAATCAGAGTTTTGCAGAGTGGAATTTACTCTTGTCAAGTTAGCAATGATGCCGGCATTGAAAGATGTAGTGCCTCTTTAACGGTGAAAGGTTAGAACATGCTCTTATTTAAACTCTTGCATTGGCTTCCTTTGTTCTGTCTGTCCTCGATTGCTTTTATCTGTGCTCCATTGCTTTGTATTTTCACAGCTCCTCTACCACCTCCTTTTTACAGCTCCCTCACCAGTTCACAGCACCATTACCTGCTCCTCCATCACATCAACAGCTGTTGTGTCATCTGTTAAGGAGTAAAGGCAAGATGAATGTGAAAAGGGAAATGGGAACATTTCCCTTTTCACATTCATCTTGCCTTTACTCCTTAACAGATCCATCAAATCATCAAATCACATCTTTTTGCAGTTCATTCCAAGCCTCATATTCTTTCACTGTGTCAAGTTGCATGTGCTTCAATAAGCTAATTTTGCAATATTGTGGCTTTGCAGAACCTCCTGAATTTGTGCTAAAATTGCCAGTCACAAAGTTTGTGAAGAAGTGCGAGCCACTCCGCCTTGAATGCAAAGTTACAGGTGCGCCCTCTCTCCAGTGGTACAAAAATGACACTAAGATCACAGATGGTGACAACTATAGAACATCATTCGTTGACTCAATGGCAGTCCTTGAGCTGCGCACCACAAGATTTGATGACAATGGAGTCTACACCTGTGAAGCAAACAATGACGCTGGAAGTATAAGCTGCAGCACAAATCTTACAGTCAAAGGTTAGCCAGTGATCAATGACATTGGATTTTGATATTTTCCAGATGCCATTTAATATTCCATAATAATCCACTATTAGTATACTGTCTGTTGGTGGTATTAAACTGGTATGAATTCGAAGCTTTGCTGCGTGTAACAAACAGAGCTAATTCTTAACGATTCTCAATGTTTTGTAGATACACCATCTTTCCTCAAAGTACCTCAGCCAATTGAAGGAATGAAAGAAAAGGATGCTAGCCTACATTGTGAGATGTTTGGCACAGCACCCTTTGAGATTACCTGGTCCAAAGACAAAACGCCACTAAAGGAAAGTAGGAAATATAAGATGGTGAATGAGGTTACCGCTGCCACTCTTCATATCATTGGATTGGAAGCTTCAGATATTGGAGAATATGAGTGCAAGGCATCAAACAGTGTAGGATATGAAACATGCCGTACTACAGTTAAACTCAGAGGTTAGTAGAAATGCGTCGTCGGTGGGCATTTTTTTCTCCAGATTTTTTTGATAATTGATGTTCCAGCTTTTAACCATGAACTACTCCTTCATTATGTTTTTTTTTCTCCTCTCCTTTTTTGTCCTCTCTCAGAACCACCAACGTTTGTTAATAAATTGTCGAATACGACATGCACATTGGGTGAAGAAGTCACCCTGACAGCCACTGTCAAAGGCTCTCAGCCAATGACTGCGTCTTGGGTACAGGATAAGGATCACATTCTCAGAGATGGTGACAACCGTAAAATTACCTTCAACAACAACCAGGTCACTCTTAAAATCTTTAAAGCAGACTCACTGGCAATGGGCAAATACACTTGCCAACTCCAAAATGATGCCGGAGTTGTGAAATGTTTTGCTAACTTAACTGTAGGTTTGTACATTTCCATTTTGTCTTTAATTCCATTTTTCTCCCCTAATTCACTTTGTTTTTTCCCCAGTCATTGCTTTTTTTATTACTCAGTTTCTGTAAGCACACCTCTGCTCATGTTCTTTATTTTCAGAAGCCGCTAAAGTTGTGGATAGACCAGAGTCTTTCAGTGTGACTGCAGGTGATGTTGCAGCTCTAGAAGTCAAAGTGTCGGGGACACCGGAGCTGAAACCAAAATGGTTTAAGGATGGAGTCGAGCTCTCCTCTGGCCAGAAGTACAAAATCTCCTTCTCAAAGATGATCTCCAGCTTGAAAGTGTTGTCTGCAGAGAGGATTGATACGGGAGAATATACATTTGAGGTCAAAAATGAGGTTGGCAGTGATCTCACCAAATTAAACCTCACTGTCCTAGGTTGGTAGACGCTTCCTATACACAGTATAATATTACATTTTTCTAATTGTCTAATTGCCTAGTGTTTTTCCTAATGCCTGTTTACTAACTCTGTCTTCCTATAACAGATAAAACCATACCTCCAACATTCACACGGAAACTGAAGGAATCTCAACCTATTGTTGGAAAAGCGGGTGAAATGGACTGCAAAGTCTCTGGTTCCACACCTTTCACCATTACCTGGTACCATGATGGAGAGGAGATCAAAACTGGACCAAACTATGAGATTGCATTCAGTGACAACACCTGCACACTCAAAGTGCCCACTCTTAAGTTGTCTGACTCTGGAGTGTATAAATGCAAAGCCGTAAACAAGGCCGGAACCAATGAGACCAGTGCCTCTTTCATTGTGAAAGGTCAGTAAATATACAGTACTTGTTTGAGCTTCGTAATGACTATTGCTTTGTGATGTAACTGATTTAATGTCAGATGTCTGCAAGCTAAAAAGTATGTATTTTTTGTATTTAGAACCTCCTTCTTTTGTGATGCCACCTCAGCCATTGGAAGCAATGCCTTGCACAAATGTAACTTTCTCAGCAATTGTCAAAGGAAGTGCCCCACTGAAACTGAAATGGTTCAGAGGCACCACAGAAATTGTGTCTGGAAAAGGCTGTGAAATTGCTCTACGGGACAATACAGCTACTCTGGAGCTATCCAAAATTGACAAATCCCATGCTGGAGAGTATACATGCCAGATTATTAATGATGCTGGGACGGAAAGTTTCCTAGTTAACCTGTCTGTGAAAGGTTGGTCAATTATTTTAAAAAATATAACAGAATTAAAACAACATTTTAAAAAATGTATCAGAATGTTGACTAACAAACCTCTGTATGATTTTACTCAGAACCTGCAAGATTTGTTAAGAAGCTGAAGGACCACTCTGTTGAAAAGGGAAACTCATTGATACTTGAGTGCACATACACTGGAACACCAAAGATATTTGTCACCTGGTATAAGGATGGAAAACAGCTATATGCCTCTTATAAGCACAACGTCACTACCACTGAGACCTCCTGCATCTTGGAGTGTTTAAACAGTGACGATAAGGAAGCAAGTGGGGAATACGCTTGTGAAGTTTCCAATGACGCCGGAAAAGATACCTGCAAAGCACAAGTGTTCATTTTAGGTTAGTTTGCCTAAATTGACCTGTTAATGTATTGGGATTGTCCCTGTACTGTATGTACTGTTTCTGATGATTTCTGATTTAACGGTTTATATCTGTCACTTTAGAACCACCTTATTTCATTGAGAATTTGGAGCCAATGGAAGTGACTGCTGGTGATGCAGTTTGTTTGAAATGCCTTGTTGGAGGAACCCCTGAAGTAAAGGTGGCTTGGTTTAAGGCCGACAGAAAAGTGAGGTCCTCCCCTACTTGCAAAATAGAGTATTCCAAAGGCATTGCTTGCTTGAAATTGAGCAAAGCAGCCAAGGCTGATATTGGTGAATACACATGCAAAGCTGAAAACAGAATAGGATCAGCCTCTTCCAGCTGCCGTCTCTCTGTCCAAGGTGATGCCCGTCGTCTTTTATTTAGGAATGTTCTCTTTTTAATCCGAAAATATTCTGCTTTGACTCTGCAGTGTTTATGAAATTAACTAGTATGAAGAACTGTCATAATATTTTGAAGCTAATGTCATATTGTTTGTCAAATTATCCTATTTTCAGAGGCAAAAACGCCACCTACCTTCCCCAAGAAAATAACCAGTAGTCAACAGACTGAAGGAATGGAAGTCAAATTTGAGTGCTGTGTGGCAGGCTCCTCACCCATTGAGGTCTCTTGGCTTAAAGACGGTGAAACTGTGAAATCCAACGACTATACCATGAGTTATGATGATAACACTGCTGTCCTACAAATAGCCAGAGGTGAAATGAGACACTCTGGGGAATACACTTGTGTTGCAACCAACAGTGTTGGGACTGCATCCTGCAGAGCCAAACTCACTCTTCAAGGTCGGTCGGTTTTTCCTCAAAGAAGTAGTTTTTTACTTGTTGACTGAGAGTGCACGTCCTGTATTAGTACAGTATCATATTGTACAGTATCAATGCTTTCATTTTAAAGTACGCTGTATGTTCCAACTCTTTCCCATAATTGAACTTTTAGAGCCAAGATATCCCCCTGTCTTTGATAAAAAGCTGTCACCCGTGGTGGACGTTTCAGTGGGTGATAGTGTGGAATTGGAATGCCACATGACTGGATCTTTGCCAATAAAAGTAACTTGGTCAAAAGATCACAAAGATATTCGATCAGGGGGAAATTACAAGATGTCCTGCGTGGATAACACCCCACACCTTACTATATTGAAAGCAGATAAATCCGATTCTGGCCGCTACTTTTGCCATGCCACTAATGACATTGGAAAGGACTCTTGTTCCACTGAAATTACTGTCAAAGGTATTTGGCCCACTGCCTCAAAATTGTAGTCCCTCTCATGTTTCTTGAAAGAAACTTTTGGTATAGTACTGTTTGCTTTAGCCTCCTTTGTCACATTACGTGAACATTGCAATATTGTTTTGTAAACCATTAATGTTTTAACATTTATTTTCAGTGCGCAAAATCCCACCTACATTCACCAGAAAGCCCACAGAGACCCTAGAGGATACGGAGGGCAAGATGGTGACGATTGAGGCACGTTTGTCTGGATCTCAACCCATGACCATTAATTGGTATAAAGATGACTGTGAGATTCACAGCTCTGATCACTATGACATGTCTTTCAAGAGCAATGTGGCTGTGTTGTGTATCAAGAGCTCCAAAGTCTCAGACTGTGGCAGGTATATCGGCACAGCCACCAATGAAGCAGGCAGTGCCTCTTGCAAATTGACAGTGACCATAAATGGTAGGTCCATATTATTATTTGTCTACTATGTTGTGTTTCTACATAGAAAGTTAGATGTAAATAATGTGTCTGCATTTCCATATGCCATGTATGTTTTTCCATGACTCTTCCCTATTAATCCAGAACACAAGAAGCCCCCTACATTTGACCCCGCTCTCAAACCTGTCACGCTGACCGAGGGCGAGAACCTGCATCTTAGCTGCCATATCCATGGATCCCCTCCTATGAAGATTCAGTGGATGAAGGACAGGAAAGACTTGAAAAACACTTCCAGCACTAAAATAATTTTTGCTGATGGCGTTGCCTTTTTGGAGGTCATGCGTGTATCAAAGAATGATGCAGGGGACTATCTCTGCAAGGCAACCAATGAGGCTGGTAGTGAATTCTGCGAGGCCAAAGTAACTATCAAAGGTACACGTTCTGGACCATATTTCTATTCAGATCATGTCCAATAATTTGTTGAAACAGCGGTCATGAATGAATTATTATGGTTTTTATAACAGACTTCTTGAATGATGCTTTATTGCAGAGAAATCCAAAGCAGCACCTGAACCCGCTGAAGAGGAACCAACAGCAGCACCATTAAAGAAACTGGACAACTTGTTCTTCATCGAGGAGCCCAAGACTTGCCATGTAGCCGAGAGTAAGTGTGATGAAAATAGATTTAGAAGCATTTCATTAGTATACCATTAACAGCCTACAGTGTTTATTAATAGTTGGATATCTGACATTTCCATAGCAAGTGAAGTCTTCAATATGTTGCATTAAATTTACAGTGGGCACTGCAACGTTCATTGCCAAGGTTGGCGGTGATCCCATTCCTAATGTGAAATGGATGAAGGGCAAGTGGAGGCAGATCACTCATGGTGGTCGCATCACTATTGAGCAGAAGGGTCAGGAGGCCAAGTTGGAGATCAGGGAAATAACAAAGTCTGACTCCGGACAGTACAGATGCGTTGCATCTAACAAAAATGGAGAAATAGAATGCAACACCGACATGCATGTTGAGGAAAAGAAAGAGGTCGCCGGAGTTGAGGGAGACTTCAGAGCAAAACTGAAGAAGTAAGTGAATCTCTCTTTGACGATTGTGTCGCTACCTTCCACATTTCACAAGAAACTACAGAAATAATATTTTCCATGTGTATCTCGTCTCTGTTTTTCCTCCACAGGACTCCATCTAAACAGAAGAGTCCTCAGGAAGAGAAAGACATTGACATTGTAGAGTTGCTCAGAAATGTGGACCCTAAGGAGTATGAGAAATACGCCCGTATGTATGGAATCACTGACTACCGTGGACTTCTTCAGGCCATTGAACAGCTGAAGAGGGAGAAAGCAGAGGAAAGTGGAAGACCGGTAAATTCATTTAACATTAAGTTGTATTCAATTGAATTTAATGGCTTTTTATATTTTTCGGAACACAACTTACTATTAGTCATACAATACTGAATTTTGTTGCTTTTTTAAAGACATAATAGTCATACTCTAACTAGTTCTGCTATGTCTTTTGGTGTGATTTAGGAACCGGAGAGAGAGAGAGAATCGGATGAGGATTTGGGCGCTCTTGTGGCTGATTTGCAAAAGAGAATGGAATGTACTGAGGTAGGTTCCTCATTAGCTATCACAATGAAATGTCTGACAGTGACAAAAGCAGTAATTAATCATATATTATATGCATATTTATTTACATTAATGTCTAAGCACATATTTCTCCTTTATCTGCTTGTAGCCAGTCACCGTGAATAAGGACATAACAGATCAATCTACAGTCACCAACAAGGTCGCTACCTTTGAGTGTGACATCAAGATCAACTACCCTGAGATCACCCTGTCCTGGTACAAGGGAACTCAGAAGCTTGACAACAACGACAAATACGAAATCAGCATTGTCGGTGACCGTCACATCTTGAAGATCAAGCAGTGTAAAACCAAAGACCAAGGCAACTACCGTGTTGTATGTGGCCCACATATCTCTAGCGCCAAACTGACTGTTATCGGTGGGTATCCATGGATCTGCATTTGTATATTTTGTACTTACATTAATGTTATTGATTTAAGTCTTTATATTGTATTGGTAAATACTAATAGCGATGCACTTTTGTTATTTGTTTCTTTACAGAGCCTGAGGTTGAGAAACATCTGGAGGAAGTTGCAGGTAAGGAGGGGCAAACATGTACACTGTCTTGCCAGTTTTCTATCCCTAATGTCAAAACACAGTGGTTTAAGAATGGAAAGCTCTTAGAAATGAAAGGCAGATACTCGTATGAGGTGGTCAACAACGTTCAGAGGCACTCGATTAAAGACATCAGACCCGAAGACCAAGGACGTTATATCTGCAGATACTGTATGAAAACCTTGAATCAACTGCAGATCTATGGGTTGAAGGTTTGTATAGATTTAACCGTAGAATGGGTTGATGTTGCATCTACCTTCATGTTGTGGAGTGAAGATCATCACAACCTGACCAATTTTTTCCCTCATCACACATTTTGTCACTAATATTTAAATATTTTCACTCATTTTCTATTTTTTGCACTTTTGATTTGACATATTCATTTTCTTCCTGGAGCGCTCTGATAATACATGTATGTTTTTACTTTCTTACCCTTTTTGGTCTTGCAACTTTGCCACAAACCAACATTTATCTGTCTTTCTCTCTTTCTGTCTTTTGACTTTTCGTCTCGACTTTCATCCCATTGAGTCATCCAAACGATCTGTTGAACACATTCTAACAGCACATCTATTCTTCATTGTCCATATATTCACCATTTGACTTCCACATTTGAGTTAGAATTATGAGAATAACCAAAAATATTCAAATTGAACTAAATTCATCACCACATGTTATCAGTTTTAGCTTAAAAATTCACTTCACCAAACATATCCAGAACATTATGGTGGGCGAATGCCAAGCAGCCACCTTCGAATGCCAGGTGTCTTTCGACAATGCCATCATTAGATGGTACAAAGGCACCTGGGAACTCAGAGAGTGCCCAAAGTATAACTTCAGAAGCGAAGGCAGAATACATTTTATGATCATCCGCAATGTAACCAATGAAGACGAAGGTGTGTAGAGTTGCGACAAACCAGCATTTGGCAGATTTTTTTATTCTCATTTCCCAGATGAATACAATCAGAATGGATTATACAATTATCTTAATTACTAATCCTTTAGGCGTTTACTCGGTCATTGTGAGGTTGGAGCACAGAGGGGAAGCTAAAAGCACAACTGAGCTTTATCTTTCAAGCAAAGGTTGGTATAGTCGTTAGCATTTGTTTTGTTTTCCAGCTGTCTGAATCTCATTGTTGTTTTCATTCCGTTTTTAATATTTAATCTTCCTTTTTCACAGAAATTGAATTAGCAAGGATACCCCATGGTAAGTATTTGATTTCTAGCCATAAAACCTTTCAAATGTATCACAATTATGACTTATCTTTTATATATCTTTAATATTTAAACCCAATTCATCATCCTTTAGATGTCCCTGGTTCATCAATACGAGTCCCTGATATGCCATCTTCAGTCTCTCTCAAAGGTAAGAACGGGACATAAGATAAAGCATTAATTATATAAATCTAAACTAACCTTGTGAATATGAATACTCAACATAAATATATGTTTTTTTAAAGAATCTTCTGAATACTATTATGAAGAAGAGATGGAAATGAGAGGTATATAGCCTTGCATTGTTTTATATTAATTGTATTTCCATCACCATCAAACCCTTTAAATTCATCATAAAATAATTCACTAACGTTCGATTATTGTGTGAGAGTTACGTCATATTAATAGTAACCATTACCATTATCACTATCTCCATGTTTTTACATGATTCCATATGTGTTATTTCATAGTTTTGATGTTTTCACTATTATTCTACAATGTAGAAAATAGTCAAAATAAAGAAAAACCCTTGTATGAGTAGGTGTGTCCAAACGTTTGACTGGTACTAAATGTGTACACCTCCTAAAAAGAATCTTCAACTTACTAACATGACCTAACTACTGTTTCTGTCAATGATCACCACCATCAATTTAACCAACTCCATTTGAACATGTTTGTACACGTTTGTACACCTTCTAAAAAGATTATTCCGTTTTTGTAACACGACCTAACCAGTTTTCCAGCATTTCTTCATGCTCCCCACGCTCATCTACACAACTAAATATTTTTTTAATATTCAGAAATGTTTGTATTTTTTTGATTGTCATCATTGTAACCCTTTATTAGAGTAGGAAAGCTGGGCAGAAGAGACAATAGTACAGAAAATCTCTACAACCACAGGTATCCCTTAGAATAGATGTTACCATTGCAGTTTATGTCTGCTAGCAGCTAACTCAAGCGGGCAAGCAGTTAATCTTTAACGTTCCACCTTGAGCCACATTATGCTACTACATTGGTATTAACATGTTTGGTGCTTAAAATCAATGTTGTCTGTCTTTGTATGTTTGAGCCACCTTTTGAAAATATCTTGGCACAGAATATATGGGCTCCTACTCTTTGTATGTGTCATCGTGCCGTAGTGCACTAGCGTGTCTTTGAAACTCATACACAAATCTCATGTCTTTCTCTCTCCTTTGTTGTCCGACAGGAGTAATTTCATTTGTGAGTTTATATGTGTGTTATAACCGTGAACCTCTCTCCTTAGTTAATGTGCCTTGTTGAAACAAAGATACTAATATATTCTCATTGTCTTATCAGCCCCGAGAGTACCTGTTGAGGAGGAGTCTGTAGAGAGTAAGAAGTTTGGAATGAGGGAGGAAATGCCACAAAAAGGTATTGAAAGAACAGCTTTTGTCTGTCTAGGTTTACAGCAATGTTAAAAGTTCATTATCTTGTTAATGTGTGGCAAACATGTTCATAATATTGTTTGTTTCAATTGGTAAACTCTTTGAGAGCTTGTTTTTGTTTTAACTGTGTCAAAGGTTTTCCCTATCATGTCGTGTTCAATTTCTTTAGATGTCTTAGTTTAACCTTGGTTTGTACTGTCAGTATTTATGATATTTTATTATTTGCTCTTAAATTGATCATGCATAATGGCTTATGTGTTTGTCAGTACTGTCTTCCCTAATATGATGTGCTTCTTTGGCAAGTACCTTACGTGCGTATACATGGATGTCCACAGTAGATAGAGCTTTGCTACATTGGGCTAACACAATTAGTGTCTTTAAAGTCTCTGAAGCTCACAAGAAACCAGAGGAGAAGGATAAACCAGCTGAGGCAGCAGAACCACATAAAGGTATCCAAATATCTGCATTTCTGAGTTGTTTCTTTTGTGATTAATCTGGTTGATGTGTGTACATGTCGATAAATTACAGTTGAAGTCGGAAGTTTACATACACCTTAGCCAAATACATTTAAACTCTGTTTTTCACAATTCCTGACATTTAATCCTAGTAAAAATTCCCTGTCTTAGGTCAGTTAGGATCACCACTTTATTTTAAGAATGTGAAATGTCAAAATAATAGTAAAGAGAATGATTTATTTAAGCTTTTATTTCTTTCATCACATTCCCAGTGAGTCAGAAGTTTACATACACTCAATTAGTATTTCGTAGCATTGCCTTTACAGTGAGGGTAAACAAGTATTTGATCCCCTGCTGATTTTGTAGGTTTGCCCACTGACAAAGAAATGATCAGTCTATAATTTTAATGGTAGGTTTATTTGAACAGTGAGAGACAGAATAACAACAAAAAAATCCAGAAAAACGCATGTCAAAAATTTTATGAATTTATTTGCATTTTAATTAGGGAAATAAGTATTTGACCCCCTCTCAATCAGAAAGATTTCTGGCTCCCAGGTGTCTTTTATACAGGTAATGAGCTGAGATTAGGAGCACACTCTTAAAGGGAGTGCTCCTAATCTCAGTTTGTTACCTGTATAAAATACACCTGTCCACAGAAGCAATCAATCAATCAGATTCCAAACTCTCCACCATGGCCAAGACCAAAGAGCTCTCCAAAAATGTCAGGGACAAGATTGTAGACCTACACAAGGCTGGAATGGGCTACAAGACTATCGCCAAGCAGCTGGTGAGAAGGTGACAACAGATGGTGTGATTATTCGCAAATGGAAGAAACACAAAAGATCTGACAATCTCCCTCGGCCTGGGGCTCCATGCAAGATCTCACCTCGTGGAGTTGCAATGATCATGAGAACGGTGAGGAATCAGCCCAGAACTACACGGGAGGATCTTGTCAATGATCTCAAGGCAGCTGGGACCATAGTCAACAAGAAAACAATTGGTAACACACTACGCCGTGAAGGACTGAAATCCTGCAGCGCCCGCAAGGTCCCCCTGCTCAAGAAAGCACATATACAGGGCCGTCTGAAGTTTGCCAATGAACATCTGAATGATTCAGAGGAGAACTGGGTGAAAGTGTTGTGGTCAGATGAGACCAAAATCGAGCTCTTTGGCATCAACTCAACTCGCCGTGTTTGGAGGAGGAGGAATGCTGCCTATGACCCCAAGAACACCATCCCCACCGTCAAACATGGAGGTGGAAACATTATGCTTTGGGGGTGTTTTTCTGCTAAGGGGACAGGACAACTTCACCGCATCAAAGGAACGATGGACGGGGCCATGTACCGTCGAATCTTGGGTGAGAACCTCCTTCCCTCAGCCAGGGCATTGAAAATGGGTCGTGGATGGGTATTACAGCATGACAATGACCCAAAACACACGGCCAAGGCAACAAAGGAGTGGCTCAAGAAGAAGTACATTAAGGTCCCGGAGTGGCCTAGCCTGTCTCCAGACCTTAATCCCATAGAAAATCTGTGGAGGGAGCTGAAGGTTCGAGTTGCCAAACGTCAGGCTCGAGTAAAGTACTGAGTCAGGTTTGTAGGCCTCCTTGCTCGCACACGCTTTTCAGTTCTGCCCACACATTTTCTATAGGATTGAGGTCAGGGCTTTGTGATGGCCACTCCAATACCTTGACTTTGTTGTCCTTAAGCCATTTTGGCACAACTTTGGAAGTATGCTTGAGGTCATTGTCCATTTGGAAGACCCATTTGCGACCAAGCTTTAACTTCCTGACTGATGTCTTGAGATGTTACTTCAATATATCCACATAATTTCCTCATGATGCCATCTATTTTGTGAAGTGCACCAGTCCCTCCTGCAGCAAAGCACCCCCACAGGACGATGCTGCCACCCCCATGCTTCACGGTTGGGATGGTGTTTTTCGGCTTGCAAGCAACCCCCTTTTTCCTCCAAACATAACGATGGTCATTATGGCCAAACAGTTATATTTTTCTTTCATCAGACCATAGGATATTTCTCCAAAAAGTACGATCTTTGTCCCTATGTGCAGCTGCAAACCGTAGTCTGGCTTTTTTATGGCGGTTTTGGAGCAGTGGCTTATTCCTTGCTGAGCGACCTTTCAGGTTATGTCGATATAGGACTCGTTTTACTGTGGATATAGATACTTTTGTACCTGTTTCCTCCAGCATCTTTACAAGGTCCTTTGCTGTTGTTCTGCGATTGATTTGCACTTTTCGCACCAAAGTACGTTCATCTCTAGGAGACAGAACGCGTCTCCTTCCTGAGCTGTAATACGGCTGCGTGGTCCCATGGTGTTTATACTTGCGTACTATTGTTTGTACAGATGAACGTGGTACCTTCAGGCGTTTGAAAATTGCTCCCAAGGATGAACCAGACTTGTGGAGGTCTACAATTTTTTCTGAGGTCTTGGATGATTTCTTTTCATTTTCCCATGATGTCAAGCAAAGAGGCACTGAGTTTGAAGGTAGGCCTTGAAATACATCCACAGGTGCACCTGCAATTGACTCAAATGATGTCAATTAGCCTATCAGAAGCTTCTAAAGCCATGACATAATTATCTGGAATTTTCTAAGCTGTTTAAAGGCACAGTCAACTTAGTGTATATAAACTTCTGACCCACTGGAATTGTGATACAGTGAATTATAAGTGAAATAATCTGTCTGTAAACAATTGTTGGAAAAATTTAGTGTGTCATGCAGAAAGTAGATGTCCTAACCGACTTGCCAAAACTATAGTTTGTTAACAAGAAATGTGTGGATTGGTTGAAAAACAAGTTTTAATGACTCCAACCTAAGTGTATGTAAACTTCCGACTTCAACTGTACCTAAGTTTGTCTCTCCTGTTTAAAAAAAACTCTTAGTAAAGAAATTAATGGCTTTTGCTTGAGATATTCTACTTTTGCATGAGTTTTTGTCTGTGTAAAGTAACCAACTTCCACTACTGTAAATTAAAATGATTAGATTAATTTTATTTGTCCCAACACATTAACTCAGTGATAACTTAGCATAATAGGGAAAATGAACTTACTGTGATTATATTTTCAAGTACCTGAAGTCAAAAAGCCAGTGGAGGAGAAGATAACTGCAAAGGTTGTCCCAGAGAAACACCCCTCTCCAAAAGGTATAGTCTTACATCAGAAATTATGAACTTGTCTAACAATCTTGTCATGCTTGTCATGTATTCTTAATTTTCTTTAAACTAAATCAGTGACTTTGTTTGTTTTTGATGATTGTTAGTGTGGTTGTTTCTTTATTTTCGTCAACTTCTTTATTTCCTTTAACTGTCCGTAATTGTTTTGTGTTTATTTTAATGACTTCTGTAAATTATATTCTACTCTTTTTTTTGGTGTATGTAATTGCTCACTTTCAATATCTTAAAAAAACATGAAGAAGCAAAGAAGCCTGCCCATAAGCTAGCTGAGAAACCTGAACAGGTTCCATTAAAGAAAGGTATACTGCGTTTTTCCATATGCTTCAGAAATGCTCCTACTGCTGCTACTTTAGCTCTTAGGATGAGTGTCTGTCCTGAATATTTCGTCTTCTTGTCAGTTTCATGCCTGTCTACACAGTTTCTAAATATTCTATGCAGTGTATATTATTATCCCAAGGGATTGTGTGAATAAGTTTGTTCACGTTTGTCACTTTGTGAATTGTGTTTAGTTAAGTTGTCTCAATCTTACTCTTGGCACACCATTTTATGGCTTTCAGTCTTGCACCCGCTTTTTCTTGATAGCCCATAGCTTATATTGTTTTTAATGTGTATGTCTGTATTACGTGAAGATGTGCCTCAAGCTGCACCCCATGTCGCTGAGCCAAAAGCTGAGCCAAAACCAGAGCCTAAATTTTCACCTGCGGCTAAGGTTGAACCTGAACCGAAGCGTGCGCCTATAAAGAAACCAGAGAGTCCACCATCCAAAGGTATTTCTGTCATGTGTTGTTGTGTGGTGGATTTATTCTCCTCTCTAATGTCCCCTCTCTTTTGTTTGTGGACTCGTACGTGTTTCTGTATGTAATATGTTTAAATAGCTTCTAACATAGAAGTAAATCTTTATATTGTGTCATATGTGTATGTAATGTAAGTATTACCTTGGTTAGTGAACTCTAAATCATGTTACTTTAAGTTCCCGAGGAGGCTAAGAAACCAGAGGCCTCAAAACCAGAACCAGGAAACCCAACAGCAGTTAAAAAGCCAGAGACAGCATCTACTCGTGCTCCAAAGGAGCCAGAGCCTACTCCTGCTGCCAAGAAGGTCCCATCACCACAAGGTATCAGTATCTCTTAAAAGAGATGCAGCTTTCTGAGTCTTTTAAAAACTTGTCTGCTCTTTATACTCTTCTGTTTGTCACTCCATCTTTGTCTGTCTTTGTCTGACTGTGGCATTAGAACGTTTAAGACTAGTGTCTCCTCAAATGAGGATGTGTTGCAACCACATTTATGTTTGTCTCTGCTATACCAAATTATTTATTCGATATTTCAAGTCGATTTATGTGTAATCTGTCACTCTTTGTCTTGTTATTGGCATAATGGAATCCATATTTGGAATCTGTATTTGTTGTTTTCTGTTTGTCAGTAATATGTCTGTTTGCTGTGCTTTCATCACAGCATATAGTATATTACTGATCATTTGCATGTTCTTTTGAAGTGCCAGAAGAACTAAAAAGGCAGGAGGTAACTCCACAGCAACCAGCTACCATCCCTCAAAAAGTGGACAGAGAGGACATAGAGCCTCAAATGCAACCTGTGCCAGAACAAGGTATACTCACTATAGGTTGTCAATGCTTCTTCCATTAATGTTTAATGGCTTTCTTCTCATCAACCCCAGCTTTGAACATCTCTGTCTTGTTTTTTCTATGTTTGGTATTTTCTAACTTTTACGTCACAATGTTATATGAACTGTTTGCCTTTTTAAATGTTTACGCACAACTGAAAAGTCTTTGCACCAATTGCTTTATTTTGTCTCTTCATAATCAGTTTCATACAGTCTTACCACTCGATAGAGTGTGATATCTGTAATGTCTGTGTTTGAAACTACTTTCTTGAATATCTTAATGTACTGTATATGCATGCTTTTAACAAACTTAAATGGTGTTTTAAGTTCACGTGGAGGAAAGAAAACCAGAACCTACAAAGTCTGTCAGAAAGCCTGAATCAGTTATTGTGACTCCAAAGGAGGATACACCGCTAAAAGGTAGGGATTTATGTACTGACTTATGTACTGTACGTACTGTGTACTGTGATGTCTTAAGGGTCTTCTTGAACTCTTTTTTGTCCTATGTTTACCATCTTCCACCTCTCAGTTTTCCTCAGTTCTCTTGGTTTGAAAATCTATTCACAAGGGTAACACTTTACTTGAACTATCACCATGATGCTGACTTAATGGTGTTACAATATGACATTATATTAGACTTATAGTTAACCATAAGTTGTTAAGACTGTTTCAGACATGGTTCATGATATGTTTGTGACCATGTCAACAATATGGTTGAAGTAAAGTGTTGACGATGTCTTTGTCGGATTTGACGTATGTTATGTGACAACACTTCTGTCAATCTTCTGTGTTGCCAATGTATTATGTGTGTGTTGTGTGTGTGTGCTTCAAGTGATGGAGCCCAAACAAAAACCTGTACCTGTTGAGAAAGTACCTGAGAAAATACCTACTGAAAAGGTACCTGTTACTAAACCTAAAAAGGAGATGGAAGAAGAAAAGAAAGTTCCAACTTCAGAAACAGAAGTTATTCCACAAAGAAAAGGAACTCTGCCAGACACAGGTAATCGAAGTGTTCTGTATGTTTGTGTTCAAAATTCTAAAATCGTACTTTACTTAGATATTTATCTTAGACTGTAGATATCAGGTGCATAATGGTACACCAGTACTACTGTCTTTTAATCTGTGTTTTTTTTACGCAATGCTTGTCTTTATGTTGTGTTTTGTCATTAATCTCTTGCGACCACCATTTGGTGGGAACTCTTGAAAACATCTTTAGATGACTTCTAGTCTTCAGATGGCTGAGAAAAGGAGATCTTTGCAAACTCACAAGTTGCTTACACAATGGAGAGAGCTCCTCCAATAGAAGAAGTCTTTCAGCATGAAGAAGTGGGGCATGCAAATGCAAAGATATCATACGAAGACAAAGGGAATATATTGGACAAGAGCACTACATTGATTTCACGACAGGAGATTTCAGTAAAGACAGAAAATACCCTCCCAGAAAAAGTATCTATCCAAAAATATAAAAAGTCAGATATGAAACATGAACAACCTGTTAGCGAGGTTTCCAACAGGAAAGACAGAGCTACTAAGGTTCTTACTAGGTCTGATCTAGAGGCAGATTTACCAGTCAAACAGGATAGATATCTTCAGAGGGAGTCTCCTGAATCGTCTACAAAAGTAAAAGAAACACTTTTGTGTTTACCCTGCAAAAACTAAGGGAGCTATTTGTGTTGATGTAATTGAGTTAAAGACAGAACAGGTTACTATTGAAGATGTACCTATCCATCAAGCAGTTCAATCTATAGAATAACATTTTGTCCAAAAAGTTGACAAAGTTGTTACAAAGGACAGTTTACCTATACAGAAGGATACTGTATCTTTGAAAGTATTATCGGACAAAAAAGAGGACACTGGATTTATTCAAAAATATGAATAAGTTACTGTCATGAAACAAGGTAGTGCTAGTATATGTGAAGAAATATCTATGAAAAAGTCTCCTGATAGACCGTCGGTAGTTGAGGGTGAAAGCAAGTCTATAGAAACAGATAAGAAAGTGCAAAGAGAGAAAGCAGACATTGTCAAGAAAAAGGAAATTACCACCAGGGTATCAGAGAAGAAGGATAAGTCAGGTAGAAGACAGGAGATCCCTGTTAGGACAGATGATAGTTCTCCAAGGGAAGCTTCTCCCCAGGAACATGAAGAATACACTTTGAAACAAGAGGCATCTATTATGGATGTTTCACAGAATAGAAAGACAACCACAGACAATATTTCCCCCAAACCTACAGCTAAACATGCTTCTGAAATTATATCTAGTCAATAAGGTTTTTCTCAACCAGTAGAATCCATAGAACCAGTAGAATCTTCTATCCGAGTAGAATATTATATCCGAGTAGAATCATTAAGGGAAAACATATCATATCTTCAAGTTGATACAGGAAAGGATAAAATACCTTTGTCAGAAGGTATCTCTCCAAAAAAAGTGGCGTTTCTCAAAGAGAAAGGACAGGGATTTGTTTGTACTGAAGAGATACAGCGTGAGAGGAAACCACTGAAGAGATACATTGTACAGTTGAGGACATCCAAACTTAGAAAGAGGTAGTTGAGAAAGGCAAACCTGCCAAAGTAACTCCATCCAAGGAGCAAACGTTAGACAAGAGACTTACTAAGAGAAAGGAAACCACTAAAGAGATACCTCTTAGAGTTGAGAACTGGGGTGGCAGGTAGCTTAGTGGTTAAGAGCGTTGTGCCAGTAACCGAAAGGTCGCTGGTTCTAATCCCTGAGCCGACTAGGTGAAAAACCTGTCGATGTGCCCTTGAGCAAGGCACTTAACCCTAATTGCTCCTGTAAGTCGCTCTGGATAAGAGCGTCTGCTAAATGACCAATTTATTTATTTATTTATTTTTATAACTTCGAATCAAAGAGACAGGTAGTTGAAAAAGGAAAACCTGCCAAAGTAATTGAATCGAAGGAAGGCACTGACAAGATACATTCTACGAGAGAGGAACCCCTCAAAGAGATACGTCTTATAGTTGAGGACATCCAAACTAAGAAACGGGTCACTGTCAAAGGAAAACCTGTTAAAGTTATTCTATCTGAGGAGGAAACTCACAGAAGGAGGACAATATATCTTCAAAAGCCTCGCCTTCAAGAGGTATACTAAGTAAATGTTACATGTTTCATCTCATCATCATCTCAATCATCTGTCAGCGAAATCAGCCAGCAATTCCATTTCATGCTTAGTTTGAAATCAAAGAAATGTTGCCCAGTATTGTTCATCAAGTTTCTTCATTCCACATCCTCTTTTGTGGTCAAAATCCACAACTCTTGCATCAGTTTTTTGATTCTTTGTTGTTTCTGTGTATTTTTTGTGTCTCCTTTGTGTTCTCCATTTGATCACATCTTTCTTTGGTATTTTATTGGTGCTCCACTGCTTACCCCAATCTGTAGTATCTTGATCTTGACCATAGTGTAATTTTATTTCAAGAACCAGCAATGAAGAAGGAATCACCTCTTACAAAGAAAGTGTCTCATCTAGAGAAGACTGTTGTTTCTGAAGGGGTGAAAGAATCTGAGCCATTTGCAAAGAAAGTGGCTAAACCAGAGTCTAAGCCAGAAATCAAGCCAGAGTCCAAGCCAGAGAAGATGGTTATTTCTGAAAAGCCTGCTGAGACACTTGTAAAGAAAGTGTCTAAGCCAGAGTCTAAGCCGGAGCCTAAGACATAATCTAAGCTAGAGCCTAAGCCAGAGGCTAAAACAGAGGTTAAGCTAGAGCCACTTTTTCACCACAGCCCGCTGAGCCACTTTTAAAGAAAGCGTTAAAGCCAGAGCCTAAGCCTAAACTAGAGGCTAAGCCAGTGCCTAAAGCAAAGGTTAAGCCAGAGCCTAAGCCTAAACCAGAGGCTGAATCAGAGCCTAAGATAGAGGCTAGGCCAGATCTTACACCAGAGAGTAAGGCTGTTACTGTAGGGGTGAAAGAATCACCTCCAAAGCCCGCTGAGACACTTGTAAAGAAAGTGCAACGCCAGAGAAGACGGTCATTGCTGATGAGGTGGAAGAATCACCCCCAGGGCCTGTTGAGCCACTTGCAAAGAAAGTAGCCAAAACAGAGTCTAAGCCAGATACCAAGACAAAGAAGATGGCTATTGGTGAAGAGGTGTCTCTTTCAATTAAAGAAGATGTTGCTCCTCAAAAAGATATAACAAGGGCAATCCTTGAAATACAAATCTTCACTCTTGCATCACTCTTAAAATCATGTTTGTCTGTATGTTTTGTGTTTTTGTGTTTGGGATATTTTCTTATTTGTGTCTTTTTGTATGTGTTCTGTTTGATCACATCTTTCCTTGGTATTGTCTTGGTGCTCTACTGCTTACCCCAATCTGTAGTGTCTTGGTTTTAATCATAAAATAACTTTATTTCAAGTACCAGCAAAGAAGAAGGAAACACTCCCACAGCCTACTGAGCCGCTTGTAAAGAAAGTGCCTAAGCTAGAGAAAACAGCTGTTGCTGAGGTGAAAGTAACACCTCCAAAGCCGGCTGAGCCACTTGTAAAGAGAGTGTCTTCGCCAGAGTCTAAACCAGAGAAAATGAATGCTGAGGAGGTGAAAGAATCACCTCTTAGGCCGGCTGAGCCACCGGCTAAGAAAGTAACTAGACTAGAGTCTAAGCCAGAGACCAAGCCAGAGAAAATGGCAAAAACTGAGAAAACAGCTTTTGCTGAGGAGATTAAAGATTCACCTCTAAAGCCTGCTGAGCCAAAAAAAGTGTCTAAGCCAGAGACTATGGTTATTGCTGAGCTGGAATCACCACCAAAGCCTACTGAGCCACTTGCAAAGAATGTGGCTGAGCCAGAGACTAAGCCAGAGAAGAGAGCTATTCTTGAAGAAGATGTTGTTCCCAAAAAAGGTATAACAAGGAAACCTAAAATACAAATCTTAAATCTTGCATCACTCTTAAAATCTTTATATTTTGTGTGTTATGTTTGTGTCAATGTTATGCATTTTTGATGTTTTTCTGTGTGTGTGCTCTGTTTATATTTGATAACGTCTTTCTCTGATACTTTCTTAGTGGTCCAATGCTTACCGCAATCGTATCTTGATTGTAGTATCTTGATTTTGACCATATCATTTTATTTAAAGTTCCAGCAAAGGAGAAGGAATCAGCTCCAAAGCCTGCAGAGCCACTTCTAAAGAAAGTATCTAAGCCAGAGTCTAAACCTGAGCCTAAATCTGAGTATAAACCAGAGAAGAAGGCTATTGCTGAAGTGGTGTCTCTTTCAAGTGAAGACGATGTTGCTCCCCAAAAAGGTATAACAAGGCCAATCCTTGAAACACAAATCTTAAATCTTAAATCTTAAAATCTTAAAATCTTGCTATCCTGTCTGTTATGTTGGTGTGTGTTATGTATTTTGGATATTACATATTATCTTGTATGTGTCTTTGTGTGTTGAAAACATGTTTCTTCTCAGTGGTTTATTGCTTACTGCAACATGCAGAGTCTTGATTTTGACCATAGTATAATTTTATTTTAAGTACCAATAAAGGAGAAGGAAACATCTCCAAAGCCCACTGAGCAACTTGCAAAGAAAGTCAGCCCTCTTGAAGGTACATTTCTGTTAAATGTTTGTCATTTATATTCTTACATTTCTTTCAATACATTTGTGAATTAATGCTTCTTGGGCAAATATAAATCTTAAACACTATTTTGAAGCACCTCGAGAGAAAAAGGCTACAGAGAAGACAAAGCCTGCCATCCAAGAGCAAGAACAATACAATATGAAGCCAGGTATTCAGCTAAGAATGTTCTGAATAATCTGGATATAAAATCACAAACTAATATCCTATTAATATTCTGAAACCATACCATCCAAATAAAACCAAGCATTCTTTCTTCAACATTATTCTAGGCATAGAGGGTTGAGGCTAGTATATTTGGCTTGGGTTTCTCCAAGTCACTTAACAAAAGGTTTTAGCGTTTTAGCAAAGATTGTTACCTCTTAATTCCATTAAGCATTCCTGTTCTTTGTCTGTCCTTCCTATAATGTTGTATGTGCATGTTATACTATTTACTGTAAATCAGGTAGGTGCCACCTCTAATCTCATTCTCAGCAATGCTGGGGTTTTGTATGTAATGTCATTTTGTATGTCTTAACTAAGTTCTCATCCTGAAATGTATTAATGATGAAAATGGGAGCATGTAATATATTCCCTCTTTTATATCTTCACTTGATAATATTACTTCAACTGTCCTGATCTTTGATTGGTTATGGGAGGAATATCCCTTGAAATTCCAGGATTGGTTCCTCAAGGTTAATGTTCAATACCATTCAAAGAGAAATTAATCAATATCTTATAGAAAGTGATTGCGTTCGTTCCCTCAATCATATCTCAATTTCCTAACCGTACATGATACATTGAGGCTTGTATCCCATATATCTTCAAATGTTTGTTTTTAGGTGGACTCATTTTAAAAAACGTTTCTATAATGTCCCTACTAGGTGAAGGCAAGCAGGCACCAGGACCAGCTAAGAAAGGTATGGTGAATACTTGTTTTTTTCTTCATTTATAATCACATTTCCCTATTCCTTGCATGTAAAGAAATATCCAGTTCAAACTTTTAAATATCTAGTACTATTGTGTACTGTGGTATTGTTGTTTTCTGTTCATTTTATTTGTTTGTTGAGTATTTTTTGTTTGTTTGTTGTGTGTTGTCCTATTGGTCTTAGTCTATTGTTCAATGTGTAAAACCTCAGGGTTTTAATTTAGTCTGGTGTGATGTTTTCATTGTTATTATCTTGTTTAGTGAGCTGTTAAGTGTACTGTGAAACCTTTGCTGCAGTTCTCCGACAAAAAGCTAAAATTCACATTGAGGAAGAAGAAATACTTGTACTGCCAACCTTGATGAAAACAACCAGGATATCCAAAGACGCGGAGCAAGAACAGGAGATTATATCACTGAAGAAAGTGCCTTCAGTCCCCTTTGAAGATCTGCCAGCACCACTAAAGAAACCTCCTCCAAATATTACAAAGCATACAATCCATGACTTTGAAGAGAGAGTGTATGAAGAAGGTGAAGTAACAATATCTGAAAGATATGAGGCAGAGCAAATAAGCATGACAGATAAAATCAGCAAGATACCTGATGGAGCAAAAGTAAAGACACCTAAAGAAGTTGAACCAAAAGACTCAACTGAGGACAAATGGTCTCTGAAGACCATTCCCAGAGATGAAAAAGAAGAGGGCAAAATTACTTTGAAGAAAACTCCCAAGGGGATGAAAGAAGAGGCACCAACAGACCCCAGTTTAGCCCAAAATAAACTATCCAGATTGCCATCAGATGAAAAAGAACAAGAAACTGTGAAGTTAAAACCATTCCAAAAATCTCTTAAAGCAGGGATCATTGAGCCAGAGAAGGACAAGGACAAAGACAAAGAATCTATGGTTTTCAAGAGAGGAGAGAGACAACCAAGAGATGAAGACATTAAAGAACCTGTTGATCGTAAGAAAGCTGATAGAATTCCTAGTGCTAAAGAAGAGCCACAGGCAGTCAAATTAAAACCAGTGGCGAAAGTTCCTGAAGATGAACAAGTCTGGGATTCTGACAAACCATTGACAAAGGTGAAAAGGATTCCAACACAGGAGCAAGAGAAGGAAGATGTTAAATTGAAGCCATTTTCAAAGTCACCTAAAGCTGACACTGAAGCTGTCCAAAGTCCTCCAAAGACAGCACCCGCAAAGAAAATGGAAAAGAGTCCTCAAGAGGAAAAGCCAGTACAGTTAAGAAAGGTGGAGCTTGTGCCAAAAGAACCAGAGGACGAAGACAAACCCTTAAAGCATGAAGAGACACTTAAGAAAATGGTGGAACTGAAAAAGACTCCTTCACCTAAGGTTGAAAAACCAAAAGAAATAGAAACAATTACTATGGAGAGGAAGCCCAGTGCAGAAAGGACAAAAAAGCAGCCCAAAGAAGTTTCACCAAAAGATTCATTTGAAGGTGTTACCCTAAAAAAAGTTCCAAAGAAATCACCACAACAGGAAACTGATGGAGCACCACCGAAGAAGGTGCCAGCAATGAAAGAGCTTTCCCCTAAAGTTGTACAGTTACGAAATATCTCGTCTCAGCTGGAGGAGGAAGTATTTGAGGAGGAGCCAGAGGCTGAGGAGGAATCTGACAATGAAGGTTGGGGATGGCAACTTGTCCCTCGGGATAGTTGTGGGTCCACAGAAGACTGGGGAGAGGAAGGTGATGCACTTGAGACCCCTGGAATGCCAAGACAAGGTGAGATGAATGCTGGAGCGTATCAACATTAATGGCTCAGAAAAAGTCCTTCACCCCAAATAATCTCCATCCATTTCCATCTTCATGTTTTTATGTTCTACATGTTAATGTTTGTCATCATTCCGTATTGTTTCTTCATGTCGATCATTTTCATCAGAAAAGTATTTTATCCCAAATAATCTTAATCCATTTCCATCTTGTTCTATGTGACGTTTGTCACCATTGTGTGTTGTTTCTTCATGTCAGTCTCCATGTTTGTGCTATTTGTCTGTCAATCCATGTAAAAAGTACGTTTAGCATGTTGTTATTCCACATGGTGTTTAACATTGTGTAGTATATACCCATCTCCCATCATCCATTGTCCATTTGTTTCCATCATCATCCTTCATCTTTATTTATCTCACCTTATTGTGTGTAACATTCGGAGTACAAATATTTACAAGGGATTTGAATGTGACCTGTCTTTACGTTATAGTCATTCTAAATATCTTAAACAGATGGAAAGCCAGCAGAAGAAGCAGGTGCAGGCAGAGGTAGAGGTAGAGGCCTCAAAGGTAAGACTATCCATGTGAAAATAATATATTTTTTAGAGTGCTGTGTCAGCACACAACTCTTTTCCCTCATAGTATTTTTCAAGCTTATTCTCTTTCTTCATAGTGTTCATACTGTAACTACTTTTGAACGGTTTACATTATAATCACTGTTCAAACTTTAAAACATGTGGACAGATTAAACTTATATTGTTTGTCAACAGTTTTTTAATATAATTTATTCTACTTAACTACTAAGATTTTTGTCCTTCCCAAAACCTCCATCAGCTTCAATGGGATGTCTTCAATATTCTAAACTTCTCATAATTCAGCAATGACATCCAACATTCTATCCACTGTGAACACTTGCTTTTGAAAGAAATCAGCTACTTTGACCAATTTCCCAACAAGTTGGACAAAAACTCAGTGTATGAAATCTTTGTCTCTTTCTCGGGTTTTCAAATAAGCAATCAGAATATAAATATATTCTACAACTATTTTAGTAAACGCATAAGCTTCTTTCTTTTGCTGCTAGTTATAACAAAAATAGTTGCTATGCAGGCTAGATAACATTCCCTTGCTAGCTAGCCAACTCAATTAATTCTTCATTCTAGTAGTTAATACAGTAGCATGTTGAATTAAGCAAGGATAAGAGACTTGTCCAAGTCCATGTCTGAGTCACTGGGGGGCAGTGGATGCACAGTGATAATTCAAATGGAACTGGCATTTGCCATGGATTATTGTGAATAACAAACGCCTATCAACCAATCAGCATCCAGGAACTAATCTACGATTTTATAAAGGCTACTATCCCACTACAATTAATGATACAGTCATTAGCCTGATTCTGATACACTAGCCTACATTTTTCAAACACTAGCCAGAAGCCTCTAATAATTTAAACTTCTGAACTTCTTCCTCTACCATAAAAATACTTTTGGACAGCTGATGCAGCACTCACATTTTCTATTAGGAAATATTATTTTATAATTTAACACTGTTAGTGTTAACAATGTAAGTGTTAAACTGTAAGTGCTTTAATGGTAAGTGTTAAAAAATGTATTCGTTTGAAAATGTTAACACTTTTAACTCATGTAAACAGGCTAAACATGTAATCTGTGTAATTGTGTCTGAATTGTAGCAGGCAAAACTCCATCCCCTGGTGAAGGCAGGGGTAGAGGACTAAAACCCGGTGGTGGTGGAGGAGACAAACCCCCAGATGCTAATCCTTTCGGATTCCAGCTCAAAGCAGTTCCACTGAAGTTTACGAAACCACTCAAGGACATAGTGTTACAAGAAGGTGATGCTGTTGGTGCATCTGCTACATTTGAGTGTGAAGTTTCACCTTCTACTGCTGTAACTACATGGATGAAAGATGGCAGCAACCTAAGAGAGAGTCCAAAACACAAATTCACCTCTGATGGCAAAGATCGAAGACTGGCCATTATTGACGTCCAACTGGTGGACACTGGAGAATACACTTGTGTTGCCAAGCTGGGCAACAAGGAAAAGACAACAACCGCCAAACTCATTGTTGAAGGTATTTCAGATAATTTATTTAATTTAAAGAATGTGAATTATTTACATTATATAAGAAATTAGTTACTAACAATTAATTAATTATGTATTCATACATCTTATTTCTTTACAAAATCATGTAAACCACTGAAAAGCTGATAACAATTAATTTCCAAGTGATGTAGCTTTAATAACGGTTGTTTACTTAATGTCATGTTTTATATTGTCATACAAAAATGTATACCATATAACTACACAATTTTATGGAGAGTACCCCCCTTTTTGATAAAGTATTCCTTAATCTATGTAGCTTTTGTCACGTTTAAGTTGTGCTGATAATTATATATATATATATATATATATATATATATTATTGATATGGGTTGATGCATTTTACCTTTATATTTTGATGCAAATCATTTGTATGCACATTTTCATGTAAATAATTACCTAATACTTACCCAATACTTACCTGTTCAGAACTACCCGTGAAGTGGGTGAAAGAGCTGGTTGAGGAGACGTCGGTCATGAAGGGGCAGCCTATGTACCTGAACTGTGAGTTGAACAAGGAGAGAGAAGTGACCTGGATGAAGAGTGGTAATGTCCTCAAAGTAATCCCTGGAAAGGTGGCCATCAACGTCATTGGAATGCAACAAGCCGTTACGATCCAGAACATGGGAGATGACGACGCTGGAATCTACGCATGCGAGTGTGAACTCATCAGGACTAAAACAACTGTCAAAATCATTGGTATGTAGAGAATTCCCTAAATAAACCGTTGACACTTATCAACAATATAAATATACTGAATCTGTTAGTCTACGTACGAAAACTGATTACAAATAAATGTTTACAGAAATTGTCAGAGACTGGTTGGTGAAACCATTGAGAGATCAGCATGTGAAACCCAAGGCCACTGCCACTTTCAAGTGTGAGCTCTTCAAAGAAACCCCTAACTGGAAGTGGTTCAAAGGCAACGATGAGATTACTAATGATCCCACTGACAAGACTGAGGTCAAGAAAGAAGGCAAAGTCCTGACTCTCACAATAAAGAATGCACAGCCCGAAGATATTGCAGAATATGCCATGGAGGTTGAAGGCCACAGATACACAGCTAAACTGACTCTTGGAGGTTGGTTGCACAATCACACATATCCTGTATGGTGTTGAATCTAGTAAGGCTACCTACATGAAGTGAATGCTTATTATATACTTTTGATATTTTTACAGAACGTGAAGCTGAGATCTTGAAGCCTCTCTCAAGTTGCGAGGTGGTTGAGAAAGAGGATGTTACATTTGAAACTGAAATATCTGAAGAGGATGTGCCTGGAGAATGGACACATAAAGGGCAGGTCTTAACAAGATCACCGGTAAGACTTGTCTTATGATTTGACTGTAATATTTGCACGGACACTAAGCGTAACCACAATTTTCAGAAATGTTGAACAGTCTTTGATATATTTTTTAATTGTGCATTTTCAGACATGTGAGATCAAAATGGAGGGCAAGAAACGTTTCCTCACTCTGAAAAGTGTTCCACTTGAAGCATCTGGAGAGGTGTCTTATACAGCTCTGAATGCTGTCACTAGTGCTGTGCTCACAGTCAAGGGTAAGCAATTGTTCCAAGAGCACAGTATGTATGTATGTATGTATGTATTTACATTATATATACAAAAGTATGTGGACACCCCTTCAAATTAGTGGATTCGGCTATTTCAGCCACAGACGTTGCTGACAGGTGTACAGTATATGTAAGGACAGATGCTTGGAGACGAGAAGAAAGTACAGGGAGTGAACATACAATGGAAAAACTGACAGGAACAAAACACCGACAGCGTCTGGACAACAGAAACGAAACAACATTAATGCAGAGACGGGGATCAAACTGAGGAACAGACAGATATAGGGGAGGTAACCAAGCAGTGACAAAGTTCAGGTGAGTCCAATGAAGCGCTGATGTGCGTAACGATGGTGACAGGTGTGCGTAATGATGATCAGCCTGGCACCCTCGAGCCGGCCGAGGCGCGGGAACCTGTCGAGCCGGCCGATGCGTGGGAGCCTGACTCCATGTTCCAGAGACGTGGGAGCCTGACGAGCCGGCTGAGGCGTGGAAGCCTGACGAACCAGCTGAGGCATGGAATCCTGACGAGCCGGATGAGTCGTGGAAGCCTGACGAGCCGGCTGAGGCATGATGCGCATAACGATGGTGACAGGTGTGCGTAATGATGATCAGCCTGGCGCCCTCGAGCGCCAGAGAGGGGGAGCAGGAGCAGGCGTGACAGTATAAAATTGAGCACACACCCATGCAATCTCTGTAGACAAACATTGGCAGTAGAATGGTCTTACTGAAGAGCTTAGAGACTTTCAACGTGGCACCGTCATAGGATGCCACCTTTCCAACAAGTCAGTTCGTCAAATTTCTGCCCTACTAGAGCTGCCCCGGTCAACTGTAAGTGCTATTATTGTGAAGTGGAAACGTCTAGGAGCAACAACGGCTCAGCCGCGAAGTGGTAGGCCACACAAGCTCACAGAACGGGACCGGCGAGTGCTGAAACGCGTACCGCGTAAAAATCGTCTGTCCTCGGTTGCAACACTCACTATCGAGTTCCAAACTGCCTCTGGAAGCAACGTCAGCACAATAACTGTTATTTGGGAGCTTCATGAAATGGGTTTCCATGGCTGAGCAGCCGCACACAAGCCTAAGATCACCATGCGCAATGACAAGCGTCGGCTGGATTGGTGTAAAGCTCGCTGCCATTGGACTCTGGAGCAGTAGAAACGCATTCTCTGGAGTGATGGACGAATCTGGGTTTGGCGGATGCCAGGAAAACTCTACCTGCCCGAATGCATAGTGCCAACTGTAAAGTTTGGTGGAGGAGGAATAATGGTCTGGGGCTGTTTTTCATGGTTCGGGCTAGGCCCATTAGTTCCAGTGAAGGGAAATCTTAACGCTGCAGCATACAATGACATTCTAGGCGATTCTGTGATTCCAACTTTGTGGCAACAGTTTGGGGAAGGCTCTTTCCTGTTTCAGCATGACAATGCCCCTGTGCACAAAGCGAGGTCCATACAGAAATGGTTTGTTGAGATCGGTGTGGAAGAACTTGACTGGCTTGCACAGAGCCCTGACCTCAACCCCATCGAACACCTTTGGGATGATTTGGAACGCTGACTGTGAGCCAGGCCTAATTGCCGAACATCAGTGCCCGACCTCACTAATGCTCTTGTGGCTGAAAGGAAGCAAGTCCCCGTAGCAATGTTCCAACAACTAGTGAAAAGCCTTCCCAGAAGAGTGGAGGCTGTTATAGCAGCAAAGGGGGGACCAACTCCATATGAATGCCCATGATTTTGGAATGAGATGTTCGACGAGCAGGTGTCCACATACTGTTGGTCATGTAGTGTATGTATTGATGATGTTATGCATGTATTGACAAAGAGATCCTTATTCGTACCTCCTAGAAATGGAAATGGACTTCACAGTCCACTTGAAGGATGTGTCTGTACCTGAAAAGAAACAGGCTATGTTTGAGTGTACTATCACAAGGGATGTGCCTAAAGTCATGTGGTTAAAGGGTTCTGACACCATTGGTACATCAGACAAAAAATATGAAATAATCGATGATGGATAAAAAACAATGTTGGTCATAAACAACTGTCAGTTTAATGATGAGGGAAATTACAGTATAGAAGCCTTGGGCAAAAAGTCAACTGCTACACTCACTGTGGAGGGTAAGCATGGAACCATTGTTTTTAGACTTGAAACCCTTTGAGTGGTTTTTGTTTGATATCATCAAAAGTTGTGATTCATTCATTCTTTTGCTAGTTGGAATAATTTTCTCTTAACTAAGTCCATTATGCACACACCTAACATAATATAGGTATGAGGCTCAAATTTGAATTGCCACTTCAGGACCAAACTGAGAAGGAAGGTAACACTGCTCGGTTTGAGCTTGAGATCTCTCATGAGAATGTACCCGTGACATGGTACAAAAATGAAGTAAAATTCCATGTGAGCAGAACCGTGCTCATCCATAGTCGTAGAAAGAAACACACGTTAGAAATCAAGGAGTTGACTCTAGATGATATCTGCCAGGTTAAGGCAGAGGCTAAAGGAATTCTCTCAATGGCAAAGCTGACGGTGATAGGTAACCCCTGCTTTGTTGCTTTACTCAAATTGTTTGTCATTCAAGGATTTGCCCCATGCTACAGTACATAAATACAGAATGCAAAACACTTATCCTCCTCATGACTCCATGTTCCAGAGAGTGATGCATAATTCGTAGTGAAGTTGCAGGATTATACTGCAGTCGAGAAAGACGAAGTCACTCTGGACTGTGAACTCAGCAAAGATGTCCCAGTCATGTGGTACCATAATGAGACTGAAATGAATGCCTCTAAGATGGTAACCATAACGGCTGAAGCGAATCGAAGAATGTTGTCCATCAAGAAAGTGGAGGACCAAGATAAGGGACAATACGTATGTGATTGTGGAACGGACAAAACCATGGCAAATATTAATATCAAGGGTAAGCAATTACAAATGTTTGTTAAGCAACAAACATTTATTTTGAGAACGTTCTTGCGGTTTTCTTGTAATTGTAATGTTCTCAATACTGAATTGCAGCTCGAGATATAGAGATAACTCGGCCAATGTATGGTGTTGAGCTCTTTGATGGCGAGACCGCTCGCTTTGAAGTAGAAATCTCTGAAGATGATGTCCATGGCCAGTGGAAACTGAAGGGAGAAGTCCTTACTCAATCCCCTGTATGTTACATAGACCAAATTATTCTCACTGTTGTTTGACCATTTTACCATTCATATCCATTACGTGATCATCCATTCACATCCATTACGTGGTCTTGAAATATTACAATGAAACAGCCTATAGCATTCTCTTCCTTCCTCCTTTTCCCCTTCATCTTCATCTAATGTGGACTATTTTCTATACAAATGTTGCTATAATTTACAGGACGTTGAAATCATAGAGGACGTTGCAAAGCACACATTAATATTATACTACCTCAAGGCCCCCTTGTCAGGGGAGATTCTATTTACAGCTGCTAATGCTAAATGTGTTGCTAATCTGAAAGTGAAAGGTGAGATTCTTTGGTTGGTGATATGATAATGTAAATATTAATATTTTCAGTGGTGGTTCTCTACGCATTGCCATGATGCCACATTATCTTTCCTTCTGAACTACAGAGAGTCCAATTACATTTGTCACACCTTTGAGTGATGTGCAAGTGTATGAAAAAGATGAGGCCAGATTTAAGTGTGAGGTGTCCAGAGCGCCTAAGAGCTTCCGTTGGCTCAGGGGATCTCATGAGTTGACAGCTGATGATAAGTTTGATATTATCCATGAAGGAAAGAGACACACTCTGGTGGTCAAATCTGCTGCATATGAGGATGAAGCTAAGTACATATTTGAGGTAGAGGACAAGAGAACCACTGGCAAACTAGTTATCCAAGGTAATCTGAAGAGATTTTTTGGTGCTTCCTGTTTAAATCCTGATTCAATTCATTACAAGTGACTGAAATTGATCTTCTCACGATGACAATGATTCAATTTCTTATGAATTGAATGTCTTATCAGGAATTCGCCTTGAGTTTGTCAAGCCCATTAAGGATGTCACTGTCAAGGAGCGCGAGACAGCAGAGTTCAGTATTGAACTCTCACATGACAACATCCAGGTCACCTGGTACAAGAACGATGTGCGTTTGCATCCCAGCAAAGTTGTGCACATGTCAGATGATGGCAAGATGCACAAATTGACCTTCAAGGTGGTGTCCATTGATGACACATCCATGATCAAAGTAGAGGCCATGGGCAAAATCTCAGAGGCCATGCTCACAGTTCTCGGTTAGTATACCGTTAAAACCCTTGAAACGTTCAATCACAACAAATCTATACAATCTGTAGATGAAAATAACAGGTGAGTTACCGTTGTCGAAACTGAAATATCACACGCAACTCATCATGGTTTCTTTTTCATCAACAGAGGGAAAGCCTTACTTCACGACAAAACTGCACGACTACTCAGTCACTGAGAAGGATGAACTGACGATGGTTTGTGAACTGAGCAAGCCCAATGCAGAGGTGAAATGGTTCAAAGGTGACCAGCAAATCACTTCCTCCAAGAATGTGGTCATCAAAGCCGATGGAAAGAGGCGTATGCTGATCATTAAGAAGACAGAGAAAGCCGACATTGGAGAATACAGCTGTGATTGTGATACGGACAGAACCACGGCCAAGCTCAATATTGAAGGTAGCCTTTAGCTCAGCATTTGAGAATTGCAGTATATATTTTCCTTCATTCATACAAACACTTGAGTTGTCTTTGTGTTTCTTCTACAGATCGTGACATTAAGTTTGTCAGGCCCCTGTACAGCGTGGAAGTGACAGAAACTGAAATCGCCAAGTTTGAGATTGAGATCTCTGAGGAGGATGTACATGGTCACTGGAAACTCAAAGGAGAGGCTCTTCACCAGTCTCCTGTAAGAAAATATCCACAACATTATTACTACATACAATAATTGGACATTCCTTAGTACATTTCCTAGCGGTTGAGGAGTAAAAGAAAATAGATGGTAAGTATAATTTGATGAGGATCACTTAGTAACTGTTTATGTATTCTCTTTCAAGGACTGTGAGATTAAGGAGGATGGTACAAGGCATGTCCTTATCCTGTACAACGTTCGCAAGGATCAGGCCGGAGAAGTTGACTTCCAGGCTGCCAATGCTAAATCCAATGCTCACCTTAGAGTTAAAGGTGAGAATGATTTAACACACACTCACACATTTATTTGACCATGAGATAAGCACGCACACATTGTCCCAACTGTTGGTTGAATAAGTAAACCCCAGAGCTGTCAGATGAGGATATAGTCAGGCATTTACAGCCCCTTTTAAGTAGGTGTCAAACATTTTACAAGGGAGGACTAAAGCTATCTAAATAAGTGTGTCATAAAAAGTGTTGAAGTTCGGATATCAATTCTGGCACACTTCTTACATATCTAAATATCTACTTGCAAAACACCCAGGGCCTTGCTATGCAATGCAATTCTTAGCCATGATGCAACCATTTTTGGGGTAAAAGTTGGGTAACAACGCACCCCCAAAATTCAAAGAGGTTGATTGACAGGGACAGATTGCCTAACCGGTGGTTTGGCAGGGGGTGGGTTAAAGGCCAATCAGGTGTTGTGGCTATTTTAGAATCCACATGCCTTATCTAGAGTGGGCAGTTAGTGATTGGCAGAGCTACAACATGCCTGCCTCTCAAAGTTTTTTGCTGACCATATACATCTCAAGGAAACTGGGTATGCAAATGAGGAAGGCCCCCAATTTCAAGTCCCTCTGCGCTAGTCCTAGCAGTTCTCCTGGTGGTTTACAGGGCTCCAGAGCAGTGGCCAGCCGTCAGGGCATCCGCAAAATGAGGATTTAGCAGTTAAGGATTTACCGGTTTCTCTTGGGATTTGGGAGTGACTAATAATGTCTTCTCCTCAATCTAAAGCGCGGGTGATCGGCCTGCTGCGGCCTCTCAAGGATGTTACTGTTACTGCTGGGGAGACCGCCACTTTCGACTGTGAACTGTCATACGAAGGAATAACTGTGGAATGGTTCCTAGGGGGTACGAAGTTGGAGCCAAGTGACAGAGTAAGTGTTTATACTGTACCATCTGAAATATTTATGTTACCTCAACACTGACACTCCCTCAAGTAATTTATAGGGAAACATGCTAAGACTTTGAATTGTACTTATGAACAACAATTTTTCCAATATGGCAGACAAATACCCGTTGTCATGGAATTTACTACCTGGATTATAACATATTCTCATATCCCAAATACTTGTAATGTTTTAACGTGATCTAAACGTTGTCCTCGGTTTAACTTAATCTTATTCAAAAAAGGGTCTTGAATTTAAATGGATCTTAGCCAGATTGTCATGTTGCATTATTTACTTTTCTACATTTCGATTTGAATTTTCTCTTGCATGTGCAACCGACATGCTTTCTGCATATAAGGGCCTGTGAGGATCAGGATTCCAGTTGGGGATTTGATCCGGGTTTTGAGATAACGCAGGAGGGCTTTTCTGCGCTGCGAGCGTTCTTCAAGTTATTTTTAACTGCTTCAAGTGTGTGTGTCCAATGGCACGTGGCTTGAGTTATTTGACAGTTATCATTTTTAAATATGAAACGTGTTGTAATTTCATGTACAAATTGGCTTTGAATTGCTTTGAGTTATCTGTTAGGCCCGTACATACCTATATATATATTGTCTAGCATAGTTGTTTAATTAATTCCTGTGGGTTTGTGGTGTGAAAACGTTATATGATAGGTTGATTTACGATGTTGCATAGACTGGTTTGCCCTTCAGTTACATACAGTTATATCAGTCCTATTACCTATTTTAATGATGATTGAATTCACATCCTTGACAATTTGATGTGTTGCCATACACAATGCTAGCAAACGTTTGATTATTTTGAGGATAACTGTGATTACTTTTGTTCCACTAAAAGTCTTACATTTAGAATAATATATTCTGGAATATGTAGGCTATTATTTTAATGTGGCTATGGCTGAATAGTCCAAAACATGATGATTTAAGCTGTCAGATGTTGTTAGGAAAACCTGAGGTGCCATTTGTACTGTTATAATAATGATATAACAGTCTGAAGGTGTTGTTTTAAAGTGGCTGTTTAAAGTTACGTTTAAAATAATATATAGTCTACCTTGCAACAGAGACAGCTAAATAACTTTGATATACTGTAACCATTTGTCCAAAGCCTGTGAATGAACTGCCATGGTCTTCATGTTTTCACATATAGTTGTTATGTCATTAGGCATATCATGACTATTTGTAATGGGGAAGAAAATATAGAACCTATGTTGACTGTAATTGCTGTACCACTGCACCATAAGTGGTAGGCCTATATTGTTTACATTCAAGAAGAAAACTTGACTTTATGGAACACCTACTGTAAAGGACTGGGGAAGTTTGGTCTTAGTTAACCACCTTACCCAAGCTCTGGTAAAATGGAAGAGTCAGGTGACAACTGGAGTTAAAATTAAGCCTAGGGTCCCCTCAGGGTGCCTTCGATCCCTTGTCACCAGCTGCTGATGTTCATTCACAGGAAGAAGTAAATAGCTTGACCCCACATAGCTGTCCCCGTCCACCTGATTTATCAAACTGCTTGATTTGGCAGGTGGTCACCCGAGCAGAAGGCAAAAATCACACTCTGACTCTCAGAGATGTCAAGATTTCAGAAGATGGAGAAGTTAAACTCACTGCAAAGGATTTCCAGATTGAGGCCAGACTACATGTGGATGGTAGGTTAATCTATGTGTGTTATGTGAATGATAGGTTGCTATTGCTGTTTGTGGTATTTGGTTGCTGTTGTTGTTGGGATTCTTGCCCCCACAATGATTGCCCCCAACTGCTCTCTTAATCGACATGGAGACTTGGTTTCTATTTCCATTCCAAATGTACAGTTGTCATGCTTTGAAGGTCCTAATTGGTTGATTTCTTCAAATTCATTGGTGGTACGATTTTGTGCATATGATGAGGTTAAACAACAATATAGTTAAAATATGTACACTATAAAGCATATTGGACTGATGAATCACTATGGATGGAGCTACAGTGAGGGAAAAAAGTATTTGATCCCCTGCTGATTTTGTACGTTTGCCCACTGACAAAGACATGATCAGTCTATAATTTTAATGGTAGGTTTATTTGAACAGTGAGAGACAGAATAACAACAAAAAAATCCAGAAAAACGCATGTCAGAAACGTTATAAATTGATTTGCATTTTAACGAGGGAAATAAGTATTTGACCCCTTTGCAAAACATGACTTAGTACTTGGTGGCAAAACCCTTGTTGGCAATCACAGAGGTCAGACGTTTCTTGTAGTTGGCCACCAGGTTTGCACACATCTCAGGAGGGATTTTGTTCGACTCCTCTTTGCAGATCTTATCCAAGTCATTAAGGTTTCGAGGCTGACGTTTTGCAACTCGAACCTTCAGCTCCCTCCACAGATTTTCTATGGGATTAAGGTCTGGAGACAGGCTAGGCCACTCCGGGACCTTAATGTACTTCTTCTTGAGCCACTCCTTTGTTGCCTTGGCCGTGTGTTTTGGGTCATTGTCATGCTGTAATACCCATCCACGACCCATTTTCAATGCCCTGGCTGAGGGAAGGAGGTTCTCACCCAAGATTCGACGGTACATGGCCCCGTCCATCGTTCCTTTGATGCGGTGAAGTTGTCCTGTCCCCTTAGCAGAAAAACACTCCCAAAGCATAATGTTTCCACCTCTATGTTTGACGGTGGGGATGGTGTTCTTAGGGTCATAGGCAGCATTCCTCCTCCTCCAAACACGGCGAGTTGAGTTGATGCCATTTTGGTCTCATCTGACCACAACACTTTCACCCAGTTCTCCTCTGAATCATTCAGATGTTCATTGGCAAACTTCAGACGGGCCTGTATATGTGCTTTCTTGAGCAGGGTGACCTTGCAGGCGCTGCAGGATTTCAGTCCTTCACGGCGTAGTGTGTTACCAATTGTTTTCTTGGTGACTATGGTCCCAGCTGCCTTGAGATCATTGACAAGATCCTCCCATGTAGTTCTGGGCTGATTCCTCACCGTTCTCATGATCATTGCAACTCCACAAGGTGAGATCTTGCATGGAGCCCCAGGCCGAGGGAGATTGACTGTTCTTTTGTGTTTCTTCCATTTGCGAATAATCGCACCAACTGTTGTCACCTTCTCACCAAGCTGCTTGGCGATGGTCTTGTAGCCCATTCCAGCCTTGTGTAGGTCTACAATCTTGTCCCTGACATCCTTGGAGAGCTCTTTGGTCTTGGCCATGGTGGAGAGTTTGGAATCTGATTGATTGATTGCTTCTGTGGACAGGTGCCTTTTATACAGGTAACAAACTGAGATTAGGAGCACTCCCTTTAAGAGTGTGCTCCTAATCTCAGCTCGTTACCTGTATAAAAGACACCTGGGAGCCAGAAATCTTTCTGATTGAGAGGGGGTCAAATACCTATTTCCCTCATTAAAATGCAAATCAATTTATAACATTTTTGACATGCGTTTTTCTGGATATTTTTGTTGTTATTCTGTCTCTAACTGTTCAAATAAACCTACCATTAAAATTATAGACTGATCATGTCTTTGTCAGTGGGCAAACGTACAAAATCAGCAGGGGATCAAATACTTTTTTCCCTCACTGTATATAGACCTGGTTCATGGTAACATACTCCTCCTGCCTATGTAAATGCAAGGTAAATACACACATTTTTGGCCATTTTATGTAAAGTGGGATCATTGTAAGTACATTGTGACATAGATTCAGATTTCTTTAAACATTATTTGTTTTCTCGATGCAAAGCACAGACAACAATGTAAGTGGGCAGGTGTTAATGTTCTGGGAGCCTAACCTACCCAACCAGTCTGAATTCAATGGGAATCCCATCCATGGTTGATGGCCTATCAGCAAAGAAGTATGCATTAAGTATGAGTTGAGAGTCTATGAGACACAGTCATGTATGCTTTTGTAGCAGTACATAACAGTGTTCCTAAGAGGACCTTAATAAGTATAAAACAATATACGCCTTGCATAATTACGATATAGCGATATGCCTTGCAATATCACAATATAACTGTGTAATCTAAACAAATTATTTTAGAGTGAGGAGAGGTGTCCCCACGATGTTAAGTTTGTTTACAAATGTATAAAAAGTGTAAATGTGTAATTGCACAAACAACAAACAGGTTGAAGGAATTGTATAACGTAATGTGTAGCCTACACTGTAACTGTAACTACAAAGTCAAAAGATAGGATTTAGGCCACTTAATCTTAAGAGGGACCATAACAATAATAATAGTTGGTGACAGTGAAAGAATGTGGTCAAATTATTTTCTTGGCTTCCTAAGCTGTTACGATATGTAAAGCACAAGTCATGTGTAATTAATGTGTGACCTTACAGAACCACCAGTTGAGTTCACCAAACCTCTGGAGGACCAGACAGTTGAGGAAGAGGCCACTGCTACTTTGGAGTGTGAAGTCTCCAGGGATAACGCTGAGGTCAGGTGGTTCCAAGACGGACAGGAGATCCGCAAAACGAAGAAATATGACATTGTTGCCGATGGCCGCAAGAGAAGACTCATCATTCATGGCTGTACTCTTGATGATTCAAAAACATTTACCTGCGACGCCTCAGAATTCAAATCCTCTTGCTTCCTTAACGTTGAACGTAAGTAAAGTATAGATTAAAAACCTTTCATATAGTTTGTTTGTTTGTAAAGACTTTGGTGTATTTGTCCTACTGGTATATTAACACTGTGACCGTGTCCTTACAGCTCCACATGTTGACTTCTCTAAGCCACTCCATGATGTTGAGGTCAAAGAAAAGGAATCTGCCAGATTTGAATGCGAAGTATCTCGCGAAAATACGAAGGTATTGATTCCTGACCCTTCACCCCTTACCTCCCCCACCCTACCACTTTCCCCACCCCCTGCACAATACATGCACATTCAAACACGACCTTCTTATTTGTATAATAATATAATATAGTTGTATGTGGAATTACAAAATATAATATTAAAGGTCATGAACAGTCAAAATCATGTTTTTCATGAAATTGCTTGGTTTTTCTTTGAAGGAAACCAGATCGAAGTATGATGACCAAAGTATGAAAAATTACAGTTGCTTCTATATAGATAAAGTTTGCTCATTAAGTTACTGGTCCCCCACCCATGTCACTCACTTGGATTGATTATTAAGGGGACAAGGTGACATCACCTTAACTCTCATTTTAAGACACCACTGGTAACATAACACTAATTGAAATAAGTAGTGCCTTATAACCAATATCGGAGGTGTGTTTGCAGAGGGGTGTGGTTTATATAGCTAGATAGCTACTCTACTGGTGCCAAAATGTTACTGCACGGTGTCAGCCAATATAATTAAGTGTTTACCCTATTCATCTATGGCAAATATACTTATATGTTTCCCCTTTCATCTGTGTTTGCTGTTAGCTAGTTACTGGCTAGCTAGGTCTTCAGCCAGCATGGAACAAAAGGGTGGGTGGGTCATTCAAAACTCAGACGCAGTTGTCAAGTCAATACATCCGTCAGTGCTGCTGTGAACCGCATCACAAAAGACATGCCAAATGAGAGATGTATAAAATTAAATTGATATCATTGATGCAATTTCAATGTTGTTTGAGTGGCTTTGTGTATGACCAAATTAGCTTGGTGATTTTACTGCAACACTGCTCACTGCATCCAAGTTGCTTGACATAGGTGTTTCAAAGAGCTGTCAGCCAAGGCGAGCTCATGAATATAAGCTCCCCACCCACTTAGCCTGTCTTTTCAAACTTCCTGGTAGTTAGCCATGAGAGAAAAAGTACTTTTCAGAATGACTGTTCAGGACCTTTAAGACTGAGAGGTAGTTGTCTTTCCTGTCTTCCACTGTGTTCCATTCTAGTGTGCTGTTACATTTCATTCCCTTTGTTTCCGTCATAGTCTGGATCAGTACTTATTAACAGTATTCTACCGTCATTGTAGTCTTTGCTTTATGGTTGTTTCTGTAAACAGGTCCGTTGGTTGAAGGACAGCAGCGAAATCAGAAAGGGAAAGAAATATGAAATAATCGCCAAAGGTCGCCAACACATCCTCATCATCCACAAGTCAGTGTTCGATGATGAAGCAGAATATGAATGTGATGCGAAGGTCTCCAAATCCTCCGGCATGCTTACAGTCGTTGGTGAGTCTGGCACACTTTCTCTGTCTCAAAAGGTACATCCCAAATGGCACCCTATTCTTTATATAGTGCACTACTTTTGACTAGAGCCCATATAGGGCTCTGGTCAAAAGTAGTGCACTTACAGTTGAAGTCGGAAGTTTACATACACTTAGGTTGGTGTCATTAAAACTCATTTTTCAACCACTTCACAAATTTCTTGTTAACAAACTATAGTTTTGGCAAGTCGGTTAGGACATCTACTTTGTGCATGACACAAATCATTTTTCCAACAATTTTTTTACAGACAGATTATTTCGCTTATAATTCACTGTATCACAATCACAATTCCAGTGGGTCAGACGTTTACATACACTAAGTTGACTGTGCCTTTAAACAGCTTGGAAAATTGCAGAAAATGATATCATGGCTTTAGAAGCTTCTGATAGGCTAATTGACATCATTTGAGTCAATTGGAGGTGTACCTGTGGATGTATTTCAAGGCATATCTTCAAACGCAGTGCCTCTTTGCTTGACATCATTGGAAAATCAAAAGAAATCAGCCATGACCTCAAAAAAGAAATTGTAGACCTCCACAAGTCTGGTTCATCCTTGGGAGCAATTTCCAAACAACTGACGGTACCATGTTCATTTGTACAAACAATAGTACGCAAGTATAAACACCATGGGACCACGCAGCCGTCATACTGCTCAGGAAGGACACGCGTTCTGTCTCCTAGAGATAAACGTACTTTGGTGCGAAAAGTGCAAATCAATCCCAGAACAACAGCAAAGGACCTTGTGACGATGCTGGAGGAAACAGGTACAAAACTATCTATATCCACATTAAAACAAGTCCCATAACGACATAACCTGAAAGGCCGCTCAGCAAGGAAGAAGCCACTGCTCCAAAACCACCATAAAAAAGCCAGACTACGGTTTGCAACTGCACAAGGGGACAAAGATCGTACTTTTTGGAGAAATGTCCTCTGGTCTGATGAAACAAAAATATAACTGTTTGGCCATAATGACCATCGTTATGTTTGGAGGATAAAGGGGGTTGTTTGCAAGCCGAAGAACACCATCCCAACCGTGAAGCACGGGGGTGGCAGCATCATGCTGTGGGGGTGCTTTGCTGCAGGAGGGACTGGTGCACTTTACAAAATAGATGGCATCATGAGGAAGGAAAATTATGTGGATAAATTGAAGCAACATCTCAAGACATCAGTCAGGAAGTTAAAGCTTGGTCGCAAATGGGTCTTCCAAATGGACAATGACCCCAAGCATACTTCCAAAGTTGTGGAAAAATGGCTTAAAGACAACAAAGTCAAGGTATTGGAGCGGCCATCACAAAGCCCTGGCCTCAATCCTATAGAAAATGTGTGGGCAGAACTTAAAGAGCGTGTGCGAGCAAGGCAGCCTACAAACCTGACTCAGTTACACAAGCTCTGTCAGGAGGAATGGGCCAGAATTCACCCAATTTATTGTGGGAAGCTTGTGGAAGGCTACCCAAAATGTTTGACCCAAGTTAAACAATTTAAAGGCAATGCTACCAAATACTAACTGAGTGTATGTAAACTTCTGACCCACTGGGAATGTGATGAAATAAATAAAAGCTGAAATAAATCATTCTCTCTCCTATTATTCTGACATTTCACATTCTTAAAATAAAGTGGTGATCCTAATTGACCTAAAACAGGGAATTTTTACTAGGATTAAATGTCAGGAATTGTGAAAAACTGAGTTTAAATGTATTTGACTAAGGTGTATGTAAACTTCCGACTTCAACTGTATATGCCATTTGGGACTCAGCCAAAGAGATTCATTTTGATGTCATATACTGTAATCGACTTATCATAATATATTGCCTTGACAGTTATATTGTATTTCCTTTGCAGAGGAAGAAGCTAGGTTCACCAGGAACCTGTCTAACGTGGAGGGAACAGAAGCAGACAGTGTGAAGATGATTTGTGAAGTGTCAAAGGCAGATGCTGATGTCATGTGGTATAAGGAAGACCAGGAACTTCCCGAGGGAGGAAGATACGATCAGATCGTAGACGGCAGGAAGAGGATACTCATCATCCAGGATCTCAAAACAGATGATGCTGGAGAGTACTATTGCAAACTGTCCAGCTCAAAGACAACTGGAAACCTGAAAATAAATGGTAATGGAATCAGACATAAGCTCTGTTTAGTCAGCTAAAGACCGTTGTCTGGTGGAGAAAGTGAAATATCCTGGGTAGTGGATACACACCAGTACCGTTATGAAAATCAAATCATGAGATGCAGCTAAAGTATTTGTGTAAAATGAGAGCATATACACTAATCTGTTTTTGTTCTTCTAGAACTGGCTGCTGAGTTTATCGCCATGCCTCAGAGTCAGGAGGTGGTTGAGGGAGAAAAGGCTGAGTTTGTCTGCTCAGTCTCTAAAGACACATTCATTGTCAAATGGATGAAGGATGATAAGGAGCTAGAAAAAGGGGACAAGTACGACATTGTCTGTGATGGCAAGAGAAGAATACTTGTTATCAAGAACTCTGAACCCAAGGATGAGGGAGCCTATGTTGCCCTCATTGGCACCACCAGAGCTACAGCTGACCTGATTGTTCTTGGTAGGTCATCAATGTTGGTTTTCTTTTCTATTCTAACCTCACCAACCTGTATGTGTATGTGTATGTGTGTCTTTCGGAGTGGTTGAGATAAAGTTGATTTTCTGTTAGACCTTTGTGTACAATTGGGCAGTAAAGTAATCTTCTTCTAAAATCTTCTTCTTGTGTGTCACTACCTGAGGCAGCTTTGGCGAAATATTTAATTCCATTTATTAACTTGTGTTTCTTTAACTTTTATTTCCACAGAAAAACTCAGGATCATTACACCACTCAAAGACACAGAAGCCAAAGAGGGACAAGAGATCGTCTTCAACTGTGAGGTGAACACTGAGGGAGCTAAAGCTAAGTGGCTGAAGAACGATGAGACCATGTTTGAGAGCAGCAAGTTTGTCATGATCCAGAAAGACAACGTGTTCTCTCTGAGGATCAAGGATGCTGAGAAGTCAGATGAAGGAAACTACACTATTACATTGACAAACCACCGCGGTGAACATGCTAAGAGCTCTGGCAAACTTACAGTAAAAGGTGAACATTGTTTTGTTATCGATTCTACCAACGGCTAATTTGATGTAGTAGTATGTCTTATGTTTGTTTGAAGTTAGCTACATGACTTACTGATTTTTGTTTGTTTTATCTACAGAGGAGAGTCTGAAGATCATTGTACCTCTTGAGGACTGCGACACACAGGAGAAGAAGACTGTTAGCTTCTCTTGCAAGGTCAATAGGCAGAAGGTTACACTGAAATGGACGAAGGCAGGTCAGGAGATCACCTTCAGCAAACGCATAATCTACAGGGTGGACCAATATAAGCACACACTGACCATCAAGGACTGTACTCTGGCTGATGAAGGTGAATACACCGCCATCGCTGGTGATGACAAGTCTACAGCTGAGCTGATCATTAGTGAAGCCCCCACTGACTTCTCCGCACAACTCAAAGACCAGACCATCCTCGAGTTTGAGAATGCTGAGTTCACCTGCAAACTCACCAAGGAGAAGGCTGAGGTGAAATGGTACAGGAATGGACGTGAAATAAGAGAGGGACCCAGGTAGGAACACTTTTAGACTGCTATGAGACATGGTCACTGTTGCTTTACTGTCACTGTCACTAAATCTTAAAAGCTACTTTGCCCCTAAGGGCCACCATAGGAATTTAATTCAATAATAAAAGGTGTAGGGTAACATTATCCATTTTCGCTTTTTACAAGGTACATCTTTGAAAAAGAGGGCAAGACCTGCAGGCTGCGTATCAAGGAGTGCAGACCAGATGATGAGTGTGAATATTCCTGTGGCGTCGATGAAAGGAGATCACACGCCCATCTCTTCGTTGAAGGCAAGCCTCTTGAATTCATTGTATGATTCTGTTTGTGTTTTTCTAACTGTTCTGTATGAATTCATGTTTCACTAATTATATTTTGTATTTGTGTGTAATCTTTATTCCAGAGAGCGCAGTTGAGATCATCAGACCACCAAAGGATGTGTTTGAGCCTCCAGGCTCAGATGTTGTATATGAAGTCGAACTGAACAAAGACAGAGTTGAGGTCAAATGGTTGAGGAACAACATGACCATCGTCCAGGGTGACAAGTACCAGATGATGAGCGAGGGCAAGGTCCACAGACTCCAGGTGTGTGAGATCAGACCTCGTGACCAGGGAGAGTACAGAATCATCGCCAAAGACAAGGATGCCAGAGCCAAGCTGGAGCTGGCAGGTAAGTCATCATGGGCTCCATACCCTCCCAGATTCCACAGTACATCTATCCTTTTATTCTTTGATCATATAATTGTTTATTCCTCTACAGCTAAGCCAAATATCAAGACTATGGATCAGAGCTTAGTAACAGATGCTGGAAAGCCCATCGTCATGTTCGTGCCCTACAGCTCGTATCCTAAAGCTGAAGCTGAGTGGTTCTATGATAATGTCAGCCTACCCAAGGACAGCATCCACACTGTTGGGGACAGGACAGAGTACAGTCTGAAGGACCCTAAGAAGTCCGACCAAGGACATTACAAGGTTGTCATCAAGAACAAACACGGACAGGGAGAGGCATTCATTAATCTGGATGTCATTGGTAAATTGCCTTTCAATCCACTCTTGTATTTGAATGGATAACGGGAAGGGATTTTATTCTTGTAAAGGATATTTTCCTTGGAATCTGTTCTTGTTCATGGATTTCATTTATTCATGTATTGTTGTCTTCCACAGATGTCCCTGGACCCGTGAAGAGTCTTCAAGTGGTTGACACCGCCGATGGTGAGGTCAGCCTGGCCTGGGAAGAGCCAGAGAGTGATGGTGGCAGCAAGATCATTACATACGTGGTGGAGAGGCGTGACGTCAAGCGCAAGACATGGACTCTTGCAACTGACCGCTCTGACGCTCCAGAATACACTGTGACCGGACTCCAGAGGGAATCCATGTACCTATTTCGTGTTTGTGCTCGCAACAGAGTGGGCAGTGGACCAAATGTTGAGACAGAGAAACCTGGTGTTTATGCCAAGAACAAGTTTGGTAAGTAAAATATTTCATATTGTATCACCTCATACAGTAAACAATGAACTGCCGACCAGAAAAGTGAATTACAACCTTGTGTTATATTTCAGATGTTCCTGATGCTCCTCAGGATGTGAGTGTTGGAAACGTGAGTAAGTTTGGAGCCACCGTCTCCTGGGAAAAACCAGTATCTGATGGAGGGGCTGAGATCACCTCCTACATAATTGAGTCCCGTGACAGGACCTCTGTGAAGTGGGCCGTGGCTATGATCAGTAAAGCAACAAATCGCAGTGAAATCATCAACGACGTTATTGAGAACAAGGAATACATCTTCCGTGTCAAGGCTGAAAACAAGGCTGGCATTGGAAAGCCAAGCGCTGTACAAAATGCCCGGGCGCTTTTTGTTTTTAAGATCATGGCCAACAGCCCATTGAGC